GCCCATCCCAATCCGTAACCCCAACCTCAGAACCATTCAAAATACAGTGTTGATAGCATGATCTGACTGGTTGTGTAAAAAGTCAGAACACTGGCTCTAACAGTTTATCAATCTAACAGTTTATTGAATATCTTTAGCATGGTAATTTGCTGTAAGATGTGAAACTGATGATTCTTTGTGCTGGCAGAACCTGTCGCCACTGTTGTTTATCCCATGTCGAGGTGTTGTGCCTGCGTTTAACAGATTTGACCTTTTTGAAGTTTAATTCCACATTAGCCTTGATTTACCTCCATAAATCCACTCCAGCCTCACGGTACGCTGAACTCTCTGCGCCCTTTTCCCATGTGGTAGACTTTAAACGATCGTATTTAAATCTCGTAACTATGTAAATATGAGCCTGGAACCAGATCCAGCATCTTTATCCAATGAACCTGACAATATTTGGAGCCGTCATGCCATTTTCAGCAGCTTCCCCTACGATTTTGCACAAGGGAACGATGTCTTTGCCACATAGCATAATTGAGGCCAACTCATTCCGGTGAGATGGAAAATAAATAAATAAATAAATAAATAAGCAAGGAAGCAGAGACGGTCTCAGCGAAATGCACGCCGATAGATTTGTCAGTTCTCGGAAATCCTGCGACGGGGGTGACTTTTGCAGTGAGGCAATTCCAGTGTAATAAATTCTAGCAGGGGGAATGAATTTAATCCTCCCCAGCTCCCTCTCTCACTTCCTGCACCCCACGCCCATCATCCTCTGCGCTCTTCCTCACTCGCAGTGATAAATGAGTCAATTATCGACGGTTGTGCGCAGTCAGTGAAGGAGAGCGGATGTGCCGTTATTACCTGTTGCGGCGCCGTAATGTTGCAGTATTAATCATATTCTAATTTTCCCAGGCCCTCCCGCACGCTCGCATAAATCTGACGCCTGCAAACAAGTCAGTGTTTGTGTGAGTGTGAAGAGCTGAAATACAGCCAGGAGATGAGTGTGTGTGCTGTTCAATCATAGTGGGTTCACTCTGGGTTTGTCGGCTGTCTGTCTGTCCTTGTGTCAGTCTCCGTTTTAGTCTAATTTGTCTGTCTGTTGATCGATTGTGACTAGATCTATCTTTATCTTGCTTAATCTATCAGTCTGTCTGTCTTCATTTTCTTTTATTGCTTTTATCTTTAGCTCTACATAGTTGTGTGTATGTCTTCTATCTCTGTGCGCTGTTTTATTTCTATTTGTCTCATTTCTTTGGCGGTCTCTGTGTCTCTTTAAGTTTGCCTCTATTTGTTGTTCTTTTTATTTGTCTTTCTCTCTGCCTTTGTCTCTTCTCTTCTGTCCATGTTGTTGTATTGCAGCTGTTGTTTTTTTTTATTTGTCGTTTTCCTCGTCTGTCTTGTTTTTATATCTGTGTTGTATTGTTTTTGCCATATACGTGTATTTCAGTGCACTTTGTACTTTTTCTTCTCCAGTCTTTGTCTTCTTCAGTCTTTCCCTTTGTCCTATTTTCTTGACTTTTTAGCTGTTTCTGTTGTTGTCTTTCTAAGACTATATCTACACCAATGCAACAGCAATGTTTAGGCCTCTCATGATTAGGCATGGGCCGGTGTAAGATTCTGACGGCATGATAACCTTGAATAAAAATATCACGGTACTGTGATTACTGCTTTTAAAATATATATATTTTTTAAATGTCTGGGTAAAAAACTAAAACTTTTTCCCCTTGTTAGCACAATGTATTTTATTTTGAGAAACATTCAAAATATTTAGGAAGAATAAACATGTCAGGCTAAATTAATTATTGACTTCTGGTGTCTTCACTTGTTTCAAAAAGAGATTTTTTTTTAACAATTTAAAACGGCATCTTTAGATATCTTTTCTGCTGAAGATACTGCTGTCCTAAAAAAACCTAAATAAAAAATCATACACATCGTAGGAACGGTATTGCAGAAGATGTTGACTGTTTTAAAACCTTGACTTTTTCAAACCGCGGTATATCTTGAACACGGTTATCGTCTCATGCCTAGTCACGATAAGGATTTTTTGTTGTGCGATATATTGTCACAGTTGTTGTGATGAGCGAAATTATTGTCATTTTTAGATTATTTTATGCCACTGATTTTATAATGAATACATAACGGCAAAATAATGCAAATAGCCAATAACGCTTTAAAATACTCAACATTCTTAAGGTTGTTTTGATTTAATAATTTAATGTTAAAAAGTTAAATGTCAATATATAATGGCTTTACCATTATTTGTGAATTTGTAAATCTACATTGCAATGGCAAAAATTAGTGAGATCACCTGCAAGTATTGCACGATAAGTAAATATTCTGATTATTTTGACAGGCCTAGTGATGTTGTAGGGCTGGGCAATTTGGCCTAAAATCTAAATTTTGATTAATTTAACATTTTAGCTCGATTACGTTTAATGAACGATTCTTTCATTTATTTATTTAAAATTTTTGCCCTCTCTGTGCCACCCGCATTCGTCAACCCTACCAAGCTGACCAATCACAGAGCATGCGCTTGACGTGTAGTTAAATATTTTTGAGAGGCAGTCACGGCTAGGGCTATGTAACCGTGTGAAGCCTGCGCCAGACCATTTCCTGTGCTCAGTGCAGAAGTGTAAACAGAGCGGGGTCAGCCCTGCGATGTTACACCGAACAAAATGCAACCATGAATGGAAATATTTTTCCCTTGTTTTAAACGTTTATACCACGTTTACACCCTGTTTTCAAAGCAATCTGCTTTCACACATCTACAAAAATGTCCACTAAATTACTTGTACCAGGCCACTATTTGGTGCTGTAACCTTGTTAGTAAACAGTACCTGTAGTGAAGTGACGATGTGTTGTTGGCGGGTCAGCACTGGTGTGTGTAATATGCAGTGTGTGATGTGTCTCCACTGTTGGTTGTAATATGAAGTAAATCCACAAATTAGCAAAAAAAATGGTTGTGTTGGCAAACACTTGAGCAACAACACTAACGGCCATTTCACACGGGGCTTCAGCGTCAACGCTTAACGGAGGGCGTGCCTGAAGTTGGAACTGACATGATCGGCATAGCAGTGTCAGCCAATGAAATTAGTCCGCAATTAGCTACTGTCTGAGCTGGGGTATTTGCATAAAGCAATCTGATTGGCTGACGTTTCTGTTCGCACTTAAATTGAGAAATTTCCAACTTTTTCAGCGAGCAATGCCTCTGGAACGACGCCGGTGGATCTACAGTTCAGTTCGACAACACTTGACGTCACCCATTCAAAGTGAATAGGAAGTGTTGATGATGACACCCCTTATCAATGGGGCGTAACATGTACTCCACAATTGTGTATTTGTTTGCCCCTGCCTTTAATCCACACCTCCATAAGCACATACTATGATGTCATCGTTTTTGAAAGCTTTCACTTTCACCTGTTTTCAGATGTATGCATTTTCAATCACAAAAACGCTGTAGTGGTGAAAACGAACAGGCAAAATGCATTAAGGTTCCTGTTTTTGGCTGAAAAAGGTCCCCATCTATCCTTCTGTTTGCCTTTTCTGTTTGTCCATTTGACCTTTTAACTTGTATTCGTCTTATTATATTGATTAGGTATCTGTATATACAAGTATCTAAATTAAGTATAATTTAAGATCTATATATATATATTTATGTTGTCTTGATTATCTGACGGTGTTCAATTTGATCTTTGCTCCTTCCTTATATACATGTCTGTTATCTACAGCAGGGAAATAAGTATTGAACACGTCACTATTTTTCTCAGAAAACATATTTCTAAAAGTGCCGTTGACTTGAAATTTTCCCTGGATGTTGGTAACAACCAAATAAATTCATATATGCGAAGAAAACAAATCTAATTAGTTCACAAATGAAGTTGTGTAATAAAATGACACAGGGAAAAAGTATTGAACACATGAAGAAAGAGAGGTGTAGAAATCTCAGTGGTTATTCAGGAACCCTCTGCCCTTCGTCACTGTAAATTAATATTAGCTGCTTCAGTCCAACATCTACATTAGCAGCATGATGAAGATGGACATTTGAGCAAGACAATAATTCAAAACAGAGCCAATGAATTGCTCAACACATGCTTTGTTCATCTTTCTGTGTTTTTCTTGCTTGCCTTGTCTTTCTGTCCTTGTTTTTTTATTCTGTGCTCTTTGGTTTGACTTATCAGACTTCTATATTTCTTTTTCTATATGTATCTGTTGATCCACATCTCTGCATCTTTGTTTATATTTGTGTCTTTTTCATATCGCTGTGCCAAAATGCATCTGTCTTATTAATTTTCTTTATTATCTGTCTGCCACATCTGCCTTGGCTTACTATGTATCTGATTGTTTTATTTCTATTCATTGTTTTATCTTTATGCTTTCTATCAGTTTCTGTCTTTCATTTTTTCATCTTCTCTTTGTCATTTGTTTATTTCTGTCTGTCTATCCGTCTATATATCCGTCTTTCTGTCTGTCTGTCTGTCTGTCTGATTAGCTGCCTGTCTTTCGATCTCCATCCATCCATCCATCCATCCATCCATCCATCAATGCAATATATATAATCAAATATAGTGCTTTAACATTGTGCACATATAAACAAATACAAAAAAAGAATGAGAAAAAAATGAAGACATAAGTATAATTCAAGCAACCCCTCACAGCATCAGCGTCTGGTTGTTCATTTACAATTATATTTGGCTTTGGAAGTAATTTATGAATGGACACCCCATGGTTGTGAACTTTTACCGTTTAAATTAAGTCTTATTTTTTCAAACTAAGAAAGTGCAAAACATCATTGGTCCACTGTTTAAAAGATAGGGGAAATGACAGTTTCCAATTAAATAGAATCAAGCGTCTTGACAAAAGTTGAGCTACGTTTTAAATGATCATTGTCTCTTTTGAATCATTCACCTCCACTTATTATGAATAAATAAAACGACATATCAGAGCACCAGAACAGTCCATCAGAATTTTATACTCGACCAATCCAACCAAACATCTCTTTCTCTCTTTCTCTGCAGTTTGAAGTTGGAGTGTGAAAAGCTGGCCACGGAGAAGACAGAAATACAGAGACATTATGTCATGGTAAGACAAACACACACACACGGCAACTTAGTTTTGCATCACAAGCGACACACATCCAAACAGCAGACAGCATCTTCCTTCAGCCCTCAATCAGAAGTCCTTCAAACGCAGCTCATCCATCACAGAGAATGAGTTTTCAGAGCCGCTGCCATGTGCCTCAGTGCCCACAGATATGGCAGCTATGTGCGGCTGGCATGCCATTTGCTCTTGGCAGACGGCTTAACCCCTTTTCTCTGTCCGTTTTCTTTCTCTCCCCCCTTTTTTTTCTTCTTGGCTCATAATTTTTTTAGTGTGGGAGTCGCCTAGCAACACCGTGGGCTCTTGGCAGTGCTGGTGAATACAACAGGCAGCTGTCAGGCCGGCTTCTTTCTTTGCCAGGGTCTTTCTATCCCTCCGTCTCTGTTGTGTTTTTACCCTTTTCTATCAGCCTCTCCTTCGCTTTTCCACTTTATTCTTGCTGCTTAATTAATTTACAATATTTTGACTCTTTCAGGCCAGTCTTTAGCAAGCTAGCTGCAGGGAGTTGTTTACTTAAAAGTCAAACTGTTTACTCGCCCTCACAGTGTGCTGTATTTTCTGTATTTGCCATAAAAAAGGGTGTTACACTTGTATTATAAAAGTGAGATTTATTTCTTAATATGCTTGTCATATAGTTTTTTAATGTAAAATGTAATCTTTAAAACATGACATGTTGCGAGTTCTTAATTGATTGAATGTGCTTTTGTTGAACCCATGAGTCTTATTTTTAATACTATCATGTTTAATTGAGGGGTGGCACGGGGGCTCAGTGATTAGCATTGTCACCTCACAGCAAGAAGGTCGCTGCTCTGGTTTTTAAAGACATGTGCTATAGGTGAATTGGGTAAACAAAATTGGCTGTAGTGGATGAGTGTGTGTGTGTAAATGAGTGTATGGGTGTTTTCCAGTACTGGGTTGTGGCTGAAAAGGCATCCGCTGCATAAAACATATGCCAGAATAGTTGGTGGTTCATTCCATTGTGACGACCCCTGATAAATAAGGGACTAAGCTGGAGGAAAATGAATGAATGTTTAATTGAAGGACTCATACAAAAATAAAAACAACATTACCCATGATGCTGTAGTGGTTAGTTTTGCTCCGCCCATTCTACTGAAATGCTATGAATGACATAATTAAATATGTCACAGTACTGTACTGAAATATATATGTATATAATAGGCTTGCTTGGTTTTGGGACTTGTGGAGCTTGAATTTACTCTTCAGTGTTTCAACTTTCAGCAGCTAAAATTCAACCACACTGAAATGAACTAAACTTAACTTCAGCTCTGAAAACTGGCCTGACACAGTTTCAATTTACCAGAACTTTTACGTTAAGTTGCTTTGACACAATCTACATTGTAAAAGTGCTATAAAAATAAATACGAATTGAATATATATATATATATATATAAGGCATATTTATTACTAAAATGTTTTGGTAAACAATAGCTTTACCTACATTAAAAGCTTTTGATTTGATTGTTCCACTTGCAGTTCCTCATTGTATTGTTGTTCATTACATTATTTAGGTACACAGTGTTTGGTTAAATTTTCATATCTGACCCTGGACCACAAAATCAGTCATAAGTTTCCTTTTTTTTTACAGATCGAGATTTTTACACTGTGAAAAAAATTTTACTGAAATTTACAGAAATTTACTGTAAAATAACGTCCGTTAAATAACATAAATTTACTGTAAAGTAATGACCGTTGAATTTACTGTAAAATAATGACCGTTAAATTAGAGAAATTTACTGTAAGTTTCCGCAATTTAACGGCTATTATTTTACTATAAAATAATTGACGTTAAATTACAGAAATTTCCTTAATTTCCTTGTTTTCTTTTCTGGCATCACAGCTGCCAGAAAAGAAACAAAAAACAACAGATTTATTTACAGTGTACATCACCTGAAATCTAAATGATTTTCCATTGTGTACTTGGCTAATATAGGACAATATTCGGCCAAGATGCAACAATTTGAAAATGTGTAATCTGAGGGTTTCGAAAAATCTAAACATTTAAGAAAATTACCTTTTTAAGTTAATAATTTATATTATCGTAGCATTTTCCTAAAATGTCTTTATGGGACATGCATATATAATATCCTATTGATTTTGGCATATAATCTATTATTTTGACCCAAAAAAACATACTGTTGGCTATTGGCAAAAATTAAGCCACGCGTCAGAAGGTCACTGGTATTATATTTGGCTTCAAATCAGTTTTCCTAATGTTGTGATTTCTCCTTGTAGTGGTTTGGTTCAAGACTTAAGCCGCCTTTTCACTGCACACGACATCTAGACACGACTCTCGGAATGCACCCCCTTGTGGCAGTCGCACAGTATTTTCAGTGTTGTTGTGCACCATGGGAGAGAAGCTGATTCTCACAGTGTGTAAAATAAAGGAGTGCAACAGCAAGAGCCCTTAATCTCTGTGCATTTACATGGTTTAATGAATGAATGAATACTAGAAACTCATAGACTGCTAAAATATTGGAGGGAATGTGGAGACAACATAAAAAAATATATATTTTTAATACTTACTTACATTAAGAACAGAAATGTTATTTTAAAATAAACTTTTCATAATTCAAAAACTAACCAAATAAACTCCTATTTCTCATCTCGTGGGCACGGACCTGCTTGTACAACACTGAAATATATCACATCCGGTCGGCCGGTCGCATATGGTCTAGTTGCAGGAGTTCAATATTTCAACGGATCTGCAGCTTAATTCAGATTCGAATTTTCCGCATACGGAGATGATCAGAACTCCATGCAGCTCCTGGACTGCTCTCCATTGGAAATGATGACTTCCGGTCTGTCGCTTGTCATTTAACAAAGACTTGTTAAAATCCCTTTGGGAAAAAAATTTGCTGAAGCTGTATGTGTATTTGATTTGATTTCTTAAACACTGCTAGTTTCAGTTTTACTTTCATTTCTGGTAGTTTTTGTTTGTATTCCTGTTTTTCTCTTTTTGGTGTGACTGATTGCTTGACAAGAACAGTTTAAAGACTCTTAGAAATAACAGCATACCACTTTAGAATAAATTGATGGTTCTGTAATAGCACGACTCTATGGATTCTTATAAACTTTAGGTGACTCAAGATTGAGGAGCAGTGTGTCCTTGCAAGATCTGTGGTCACATTTACTTTCATACATCACTACACTATTACCTGAATTTTTGCTAATGCTGTAATTAATTTGCAATAAACCAGCTATGTTAATTAGCTTATAAGTGGCATCATATTTCTGATAATAAAAAAGCAACTTAATTTTTATTTCTAGTTTGTCATTTTAATGATGTCATTTTCTTTTTCAGTACTATGAAATGTCCTACGGCCTCAACATAGAGATGCACAAACAGGTAAGATTGCTGGTTTCCTTTCAAACTACTCTCAAAAATAATATATTTATGAATTAAAATTCATACATCCACAAAACAATTCATAAATGCAACACAATTCATGAATTCACAAGTAAAAATCATAAATATTTTCGCCAAATGAGCTGGATTTGTGTGTTTTTGAATGGTGTTTAGAACTGACAAATTGTATTTGTTTATTTTTGAATGGTGTTTGGATTTGATGAATTGGATTTGTGTAATTTTGAATTGTGTTTCGAATTGACAAATTGGATTTGTGTATTTACGCATTGTTTTGAACTCACACATTGGATTTTGTAAATGTGAATTGCATTGTGAGTGTATGAATTATATTATGTAAATGTATAATTTTTCAGACTGATCTGACTCCATATTTCTTTTCTGGGATTATTTGAATTAGCGGTTTAATTGCAATCCTGCTACATAAGGCAAAAGTCTTGTAGACGCTTGGTTATGTAAGAAAACGTTTTACTGATGGGTCTTAAATGCAATTTTCTTGGGTCTGAGTTTCATAATAATCATTACATGCTTTTTATGAGATTTGCATCAAGTAGTGTTTCTATACAAAATAACATCGCAACCTACAGGCCTGGCATGCATATAGCAGCGTTTCTAATCATTTTAGCAAATCATGTGAATTGACATTATTAATCTCACAAGAAAACATAACTAATTTACATTTTGGTGGAAAAGTGACTCTTTCGTACGATTTAATTCGTATGAAAACGTATGATTTAAATAAATTTTATACATTTTTGTTTGCAGATTTTGTTTTTATTAGGATAGAAAAGAATATTAGGGTGTTTTCATACCTGCCTTGCTTAGTTCGGTTAAATCGCACTAGAGTTCGTTTTCCCTCTTGGTGCTGTTTGTTTGGGCAGGTATGAATGCAGCAATCGCACTCAAGTGCACACCTTGAAGAGGTGGTCTCGGTAGGCTTTCAAGCGAACCGCTCCATGGTTGTGGTGAGAACATGATCCGAACTAGAACAGACCCAATTGCCTTGGTTTGTCTAAAGTGATGTATACATACTATGAACAGCAACACAATCAGCCAGCGCAGTCGTCCCTCCATAAGAAAAAAGTGGTTTGTCTGTCGGTTTGTTTTCCCCGCACGTTAATTCTGACCAATCAAAAAGCAGTTTAGGAAATACCTTCAATAACATCTGGCCAATGAGGTATGTGGATTGTCACATGACTGCATTTTGTTTTGTTTTGTTTTCAACTGGTTCAGACCAAAGCAATCAGTGTGGTGTGAAAAACCCAAAAACAGAAAAATGCTACAATCTATCATTTGTTGTTCTTGGTCTGGGCGGAATTGGGAAAGGTCCACGGGCTGCTATTGGAGCCAAAGCACAATGTCAGGACTAACCACAAAGTTTTGGCGGCAACAATACAAAACATTAAAGGAGGTCCCAAAATCCAACCTGAAACCAAACTGTCGTTAGAAAATCAAATCGTACAAAAATGTAGCCTACAAATTCAAATGAATTAACTACGAAATCAAAAAGACATGGAGTGAGAGAGTGTTTTTGTCTGTATACGAAACTTATGCAGATCTTTTATGAAAATGTTAAAAATGCAAACATATAATTAGCGCCTCTTTTTTTATTTTTATTTTTTTGTAGAACACCATTGATGTAAACATTACGATTTTTTCAGAAGTCGAATCTTGACGCAATTTTTTTATTTGCTTGTGTATATAAAAAACTTAGTAGATCTGAATTAGATTAGAGGATATTTCTTGATTTTTAAGAATGTTTACGTATTTTCCCTAATCAAAAATTCTAAAAACATTGAGCAATTTCTCGATGAAAAGACCATGTTAGAATAGACCATTGTGAGCCGTCCCTACTAAACTCAAAGGATTTAACATTACCTGCCAGTTACAAAAAAGAAATAAATAAATCCATTCAATGTCACGTCGTGATTTGTGCTGGAGAGTTTTATTATTCCTTTCATCTTCTGTAGTCTTCGTAATTCAGATTCAATTATGCAGGGATCTTCCTTTTATATAGTCGAAATCCTCTTAGGTCTAGCCCGTGGCACTTGTTTTAAAAAATTAATCTGCAAACAAACTAATTAGATCAACAAATATCACGTCCGCAGCACACACTTCCCTCCTCCTCCCCTCCTCCTCCTCCCCCTCCTCCTCCATGTGTGATTGTCTAAAAGTAGCTGGCTGTGACTTTCTCGCTCTTCTTCCTCGCAAATTGCGTTGTGCATCTGCATTTGTCGACCTTCCTCTCTCAGTCTCTCTTCTTTTTTTCTGTGCAGATGTCAGGTCACTTTAAATTAGGTCAACGCACTCGGAGCGTCTGTTCTCTCCCTCCGTTTCAATTGCACTTCTTTTTTGACATGCTCCATGAATTCCCTCCTCTAATGTAACACCCCTTCCCCCCTTCTCCTCCTCCTCCTCGTCTTTCTGCATCTCCCATCACTCTGTAATTTCCTTAACTGTGCCTTTCTTCTAGCCTTTTTTTTTTCGTTCTCCCAATTTCTCCTGGTTTTTGCCCTCCCCTTTTCCCAGCCTCTCCCCCACTGGCTCCTCTGAAGATGTCATTTTGTAGTTGCCGTTCCCTAACAAGAAATCATTGTGTTTCCCTGGGGAGGCTGTGATGGATGGATGTGGGAGAGGTGGGGGGGTGGGGGCGCCTAGTCCTGCTTTCTGGAAAGGACGCAGCCTGTTATTCACTTAAAGGGACAGTGGAACCAAAAATTTAAATATGCACACCCTCATAGGGCCAGGCAATATGGGAAAAATCAGACTTAACAATACAGGTCATTTCATGTCTTAATATTGATATAATAAATTTGAGTTGTTTTATTATAATTTTATTTTATATTTAGTTATTTTATTTTGTTTTATATTTATTTATATATATTTTAAAAAAAAATTGTTTGTTTTATTTTTTTATCTTTTATTCTTCATTTCTATTCTATTTATTTATATAGTTTTATTTTTTATTTATTTATTTATTTTATTTATAATTTTTTTATTTTATAATAATTTTATAATATCTATTTTTATTATTTTATTTTGTTTTTTTACATTTATCTTCTAAATTTCATTTTTTATAATTGTTATTTTATATCTATTTTTTGTTTATTTATTTTTATTTTTATTATATTTTTTTATTTATTGTAGTCATTTAATTTAGTTATTTTATATTTCTTTATTTTATTATTTTATATTTATTTTATAAGCTTTATTTATTATTAAAGCATACAGGCTGAAATAACAATATAATTACATGTATCAATACAACCCCCAACATAAAATTTAGGATTTTACTTAGCAAAATTTTATGTATCGCCATGCTATTATTTATGATTCTGTCTCCATGGGGTATACAATTTAGGGGGTGGGTAAACATTTCTACAGCATATTATCACAATTGTTTTAAACGGCAATACCTTATTGATATACAGACGTTTATATATATATATATATATATATATATATATATATATATATATATATATTCAATAAAATAATTTAGGTGAATAATAAAATCAATGTCTTTGCAGACTACTAGATAGTGTAGTCTCCCTTAGTATATAGTGAGTTAGTAAAATAAAGATAGCGGCATCATTTGTGTTTATTTAATACATAATTTGACAATTTGAAGTTCAAAATGGGTAATAAATTGCAAAATAGAGTTTTTAATATTTTTTTTAATTTAATATTTATAATTCATTTCGTTTAAGTTTGACATTTTCTATTGCGAGTATTAGTCATTTATTACTTCAGTAATTTTCACCTTTTATTTTGGTTGATAAACATTTTTTGATTTAGGATTTAAATATTTTACGTTATCATTTACAATTTTTATTCACAAATCTGCAAGTGTCCCCAAAAATTCTGTGAATTATTACCTAAATTCTACTCATTCATAGCACAAACCTATTGTGTGACTTTAAATCTAACACCACTTGTAAGGGCGACCGTAATACTCTTCAAAAACATATTTCACAGAATAAAATGGTATCATCATGGTTTTGGGAAAACATCAAAAGCAAGTCATTTGTGAGGGAAACTTTGCAAATATAACAGTCAATTTATACTTGTGGGCAAAATATCCAACAGTGAGGTGAGGATTCCCCTTAGCGTGGGATGATCTCTTGTTTGGCTTGTTGGTAAATGATTACACTGGCTTTAATGCGACCCATAGCACCTTCTCAAAAGATAGAGCAGTGACCTCCAGAAAGGCGGTGCGCAGGGGGAGGCGTCGCTCCCTTTCGGCTGGACCGCAGCAGCAGATGCCGGGCATGAATATTTCAGATATCTCCTCTCCTCGCTGCACAACAATTAGCATCAACCAGATGTGGTGGACTGAAATATTTACTAGCTGTGTGAGCCGAGGTAGCAGGTTACACCCATGCCATGTCTTGGTTTGGTTGATTCGGTTCAGATTGGACTGAATTCGAAACCATCGCTGAAGTAGGTTAGATATCACTGAGCGTCGTTACATGCACACCAATATGCTGACAACTCGTAATATAACTTTTCATAATAATCCGTAAATAAGTATCTGTTGATTAACAGGTTGAGTGTTTCATGATTTATGGTTATGAATTGCACTATAGGACATCGATCCTCCTGTTGATGTTTGTTGAAAATATTTCTGTGTAGTTTAACAAAGTGAACATTATTGTATGGAGTCAGATCAGTCACAAAAGAAATAATTTACAAAATATTTTTACATCCACAGGATAATCCAGATGTACAAAATGCAATTTTTAAATTCAAAACACAATTCATTAATGCAACACAGTTTAAAAAACAAATTCAAGATTTGTCTATGTTATGAATTGTGTTTTGAATTTACGAATTGCGTTTGTGTATTTACGAATCGTGTTTTCAATTCATGAATTGGGTTTGTGTATGTTGTGAATGGTGTTTTGAATTTACGAATTGGATTTGTGTATTTTGAATTTACGTATTGAATTTGTTTATTTTTGAATCAGGTTTGAATTTATGAATTGAATTTGTGTATTTCTATATAGTGTTTTGAATTTGTGAACTAGATTTGTGGATTTTCGAATCGTGTTTGGAATTTAAAATTTAGATTTGTGTGTTTTGAATTTATAAATTGAATTTGTGGGTTTACAAATTGTGTTACTTGCGAACTGGACTTTGTAAATGTGACTTGTGCTGTAGATGTATGAATTATATTATGTAAATGTATTATTTTTAAGACTGATCTGGCTCCATATTATGGACATTATTTAACTAAACATATACAATATATTGTCTATGGAATGATATAGAGAAACTGTATAAAATAAATAGTACTGGCAGTTTATTACCAGTTTTTAATAAAGTAATTTACAACAATTTAGTCAATATATCCCTTTGATCTGTTAAAATATCAATAAAACTAACTCTTTCAAACTTTTCAACATCAAAAGCTGTTGGAGGAAAAATCAAGGTCCCATAATGCAATTCAAAAGTGGATATAACTGAAAAAAAAAAAAAACGTCACAATCACAAAATATGGAAAGCGTTTATTTACAGATATGCTTTGGAGTGTAATCTGTTGTAATTTTACATTCAAACCAGTTGCCTGCCAATGTAAGCAACCCATACTTTATTAATAAATCAGTTTATGGCAAAACATAATAATAATGCCCTGTTGAAGACATGGTTCACCCAATTAAAATAATTGTATAATTTCATTTCATTTCATTGTATCATCACCAAAGTGCTTTCAAACCTTTTTTTTTTTTTTTTTTTGAGCAATGTTGCGTCAGTAGTTTTTTGTGTTTTAAACAGGTTGAGATTGAGTAAATGATTATTTTGAAATAACATTTGGATCAACTGTCCCTTTAAATAAATGAAAAAAATTCCATGTCAGCAGAAATTGTATGCTTCATATACGATCCTCTCAGGATTTAGAATTTTAATTAAAGCATTTCTGCTTCTGCTGCATGAGATGAGTTCACTTTCTTATAATTCTTTAGGACAACAAAGCCTCTGAGTTTACATTGAATTTTCTTTTCTTTTACAGCAAATCATTTGCTCTGTCTGAATGTGCTCTAATCTGCATCAAGCACATAATTCTGTCACACATATCTCACCAACAGTTCAATAAGTTATCATGGCATGTTAAAACGTTCACTTGCTAGGCTCAATTGACCTAATGTGAGAAAATCTAAATGAGACAATTCATTGATAAAGCAAAAGAAGTTAATGCTTTTACATGTATTGTTGGATTATTAAACATGTAAATGCACTCGGTCTCTTAAAAGTCTGAGTGTTCATGGGCGGCCTGATGCATTGTTCACTCAGCAACAATAAAATAAATAGACCATTAAAAAGCGTGTAAACAAAAACAATGGTCCCATCGTATTTCCTGTTTTACATTTTGAATTTCTAGAGCTTCCGAGAATCTAAAAAGAGCCACATATTGATAAATAATGCTATGATCGCTGTTAAGTTATGATTGAATTGCCTCTTGTTACAGTTATGAAATAGTTTGATAACAAGCACAAAATGTTCATGGGTCAATGACATGACCACATTAAAATGGTCTATAAAAGAACACTTTAGTTTAAATATTAATTCCCATTATTATCTATTACCTGCTTATTATTAAGATAATAGATGCTTATTAGTACTTATACAACATGATCTTTCTCTTCATCCCTAATTTGAAAACATAACTGCAACCTTACTAACTATTAATAAGCAGCAAATGAGTAGTTTGAGCTGTAAAGTCTTAGTTAATGGTTTATTACTTTTGATAATTGTAACCAAAATTGTGATGGTTAACAAAACAACAGCTTTCGTTGATTTAATAGTGCAAATAATCTGTTTTCAGGCTAAATCTGCACACAAGGAACTCACTGGCTATTTTAAGTCCTAGTAAGAGAAGTAGGATATTTATAGATTTACATTTCCTTACTCCTTAAAAACAAAGATAAGTAATGTTGCCAGTATCCTAGAGCTGGCTCTCTGCAACTCGCATAGTCGCCCACTGAAACCAAGTAGGGCTGAACCTGGTCAGTACCTGGATGAGAGACCACATAGGAAAGCTATTTGTTGCCAGAAGTGGTGTTAGTGAGACCAGCAGGGGGCGCTTAACCTGTTTTCTGTGTGGGTCCTAATGCCCCAGTATAGTGGAGGGTACTTTATACTGCTCAGTAATCTGTCTTTCAGTTAAGACAGTAAACCATGGTCCTGACTTTCTGTGTTTGTTAAAAATCCCAGGATGTCCTTCGAAAAAGAGTAGGGGTTTAACCCTGGCCTATGTCCATCATAGCCTCCTAACCATCCCCATATCATAATTGGCTTCATCAGTCTGTCTCCTCTCCACTAATAAGCTGGTGTGTGGTGCACGGTCTGGCGCAATATGGTGGATGCTGCACACTGGTGGTGGATGAGGAGATTCTCGCCAATTTGTAGAGCGCTTTGAGTGTCCAGAAAAGCACTGCATAACTGTAAGGAATTATTATTATTATCAGAGGTATCGGCAAGGCAGTGGCGCAGTAGATAGTGCTGTCGCCTCACAGCAGGAAGGTCGCTGGGTCGCTGGTTTGAACCTCGGCTCAGTTGGCGTTTCTGTGTGGAGTTTGCATGTTCTCCCTGCCTTCGCATGGGTTTCCTCCGGGTGCTCCGGTTTCCCCCACAGTCCAAAGACATGCGGTACAGGTGAATTGGGTAGGCTAAATTGTCCGTAGTGTATGAGTGTGTGTGTGAATTTGTGTGTGGATGTTTCCCAGAGATGGGTTGTGGCCGGAAGGGCATCCACTGCGTAAAAACTTGCCGAATAAGTTGGCGGTTCATTCCGCTGTGGCGACCTCGGATTAATAAAGGGACTAAGGAATGAAAGAATTATCAGAGGTCAGTGCGCCAAAAGAGCTGTGGTCACCTTGAGTTTGAGTCCTGACTCCAATAGCCAATCTAGGCTACAAACGTGTAATATTCAAAAAATGTTTATAAACACGTGAAAATGAAATATGTTTTTATTTGCTTTCCTTTCCTCCTGTGCTCTTCATATCTGTGCAGACGGAGATCGCCAAGCGGCTGAATGTGATTTGTGCCCAGCTCATTCCATTCCTGTCACAGGAGGTGAGACGAGACCAACACACACACACAGTGCCCAGCTACACATCATGACTCTCACACACACGCCACGTTCAGATGCTCTGTGATTGATAATTCACTCTCTCTCGCACACACACACACACACACATACACACACACACACACACACACACTTTTCTCATATTTCCTCACATAGTCTCTCATTCAGATGCCTCTGGGAAGACTATTGTTATTCTTGTAAACCCGCTTCCACAAAAAAAAACCGCTTACGGTTTGCCCAGAGCTTTTCCTGACTGAAGAAAAACAACTTCCCCCTCCTGTTTTAAGTGTGTGTGTGTGTATTCATACAAAAACACTTTAGAAAACTGTGCACCACACAAAGACACACACTAGGGTGGCCATCTGCCTTGTTTTGCCGCTTGTTGTTTGTTTATCACTGACGGACTTTTTTTTTTTGACCTCCGTCCATAGCACCAGCAGCAGGTGGTCCAGGCCATGGAGCGCGCCAAACAGGTGACTATGGGGGAGTTGAATGCGTCGATAGGGGTACGTGGACTCCCCCCTCTGCCTCCCACAGTGTGTACATCCATCTTTTCATCTTTTTTTTTATTATTTAAGACTTTTCCCCTTGAGTTGTCATTGCGGTTTTCCTGTTTGGTTTGATTTTGTTTTTATTTGAGAGTCCAAATAGTTTAGTCGTTTGGCTGAACGGCTAGTTAAATCGATTAAATTGATTGTTCACCCAAAATATACCTATAAGCCTCAAGTGATTCCAAACCTTTGATATATACGTTATTTTTTCTGTTAAATGGTATATAATGAAAGAATGTTGGAAACTGGTAGTCATTGACCTCTATGGTAGTCATAGTTCCTATAGATGAACTGCAGGAACGGGTGGGACTAAATTTCTTCCGACTTCAGAGTAGTATCATTAGCTATGTTTCCATCCACCTATTTTCATGCACATTTTGGAAATACATGTAAAAAACGGTTGAAGGAAACGCCAAGATGCGCATACGTTTTGAAAAAGTGAATAAAAACGTATTTGAATAACTGAGAAGGATAAACTTTATTTGTTAACAAAAGATGCAATGTAAACTACCATGTAAACACTTTCACCAAACAAATCCCATTATGTGCAATAAAAAAAGTGAAGTGATTTTGTTATCAGAGATCATGTGTAAAATTTAAGTGACTGGACAAACCAGCAGGCTGAGCACACTGTAAAACATCTGAAATGTTGTTTTGATTATTCCAAAATGCCTTAACCGTTTCAGTATTAGTTTTATTATATAATTAATTACCTCCAGAATCGTTAAGAGCATTTGTGATCAGCATCTCACTCCTTCAAATGCCACCACGTGTTCATTTCGTGTCAGCATACTGTCTTCCAAGGTGTTCATTTATTATATAAAGAAAAGATTCACGCAGCTTCTCCTACCGCAGCAAATTCCTTTTTTTTTTATATTTTGCGCCAGTTAATCAGGAAGTGACTGTTTTGTTCTCTTTGACTTGTTGGATGGAAACGCGCATCTTTTATGCGGTATTCCACTTTTGCATATAAATTTAATTAACATTTTTGGATGGAAAAATAGCTAGTGAAGTAGGTGAACTGTCACTGACCGAACACATGCCATTTGAAATACATGCACAGTACTGTAAAGTCATAGACAGGCAGGAAGGAAAATTATGACTTAAAGCAAAAACACAGCCCAATTACTTGGTACTTCCCTTACAGATGTCTGTCAGCTTACATCACTGCAGAGTTTCTTGTGACAGTGTGAATGAAACCAGGAAAATGGCCCTAGGGGAAAAGAATCAGTTCCAGGGGGGCCTGCCCTGTGGCAAGTTTTTATAACAACCTGGTGTAAATCCCCCTCATGTCTCCAGATATGTATAAAAAGAACAGAAAAAGGCCTTTGTATGACTAGTACTCAATTTGTGAAGCTTTCGTAAGCCATATGATACTTGTGTTTCAAAATCTTTTGTTGGAATTTTCAAATCTTACATAAACCTAATGACTATGGGCTAGTACAGGGGTGCTTAACCCTGTTCCTGAAGATCTACCTTCCTGCAGAGTTCAGCTCAAACACACATGAACCAATTAATTAGGACCTGAACAGCACTTGATAACTACAGGCAAGTGTGTTTGATATGGGTTGCAACTGAAATCTGCAGGACAGTAGATCTCCAGGAACAGGGTCGAGCACCTCGGAGCTAGTAAGTTTTAAGTGGGTTTGGACTGATGTAGTATGGAAAGTGTTAGCAGAGTAGCGGTTTGGAAAAATATGAAGGTGCGTAAATGGACTTTTTTGCGCTTCATTTAGTTTGGAAAAAACTTTCTGTATTTTTATTTGCTTTACATTTTTATTTTTCACTCGGCCATCACCCGCTTCAGCTCAAGTGATTTTAATTTCCCTTTATTTTGCCATGCTCATTAGTGAACGCTGTAGCAGTGCTGCTCCCCAACCCATCCGTTAGAGCAGGTCGACACCAGTGCAAGGAGCTTCCCCGCTCCCGGGACACTGGGAATGGGTCATGAATGCATTCCCTTTGTAACAGCCTCTTTGGCTGTGGTGCACTTCCAAGACTTAACTGTGTTGTGTGTTTTTCTCTCTCTCTCTTTCCTCTCATCTCTCTCTCCTCCTCCTCATGCTCTCTTCATTTCCTCTGGCTATCTGTTTCTTCACTCCACTTCCATCTCGGCCTCTGTGTCGCTCTCTTTTATCTCCCACACTCCCTTCATCTTTCCCCCCCCCCCTCTCTCTGACCCCACCTCCCTTTCGTCATTCCTCCATCGTCCTCTTCCTCTTGCTCCCTCTAGCAACAGCTGCAGGCCCAGCACCTTTCTCAGCATGCTGCCCAGGGGTTACCCATGGCCCCTCACCCCTCCGGCTTGCCTCACCCAGGATTGGCTTTGGGGGGCGGCTCCGGGCTGCTGGCCCTTTCTGGAGCTCTCGGGGCCCAGTTGGCCTCTAAAGACGAGCGAGCCCATTTGGAGGCCGTGGCAGCGGCGGCCGCAGCAGAGCACCACAGAGGTATAACAAATAAAATCGTACTGACATTTTACCTTAACATAGTGCAGTTATAATAGATGATTGCTGGGAATGCATAATGGAATCAAACTTTCAGAGTGAGCACACAATGCCAAGAACAGTTGTTGTCCAATTAATGCACAAGTGTCCAGTCCTGCACCTGGTGGGCAAACGTCCTGCAAAATTTAGCTTTAACACACTTACCTGGAAATTTGTTGCGACCATGGCCCTTCGGGAGCAAGAATGGACACAGCTGAATTGATTTTATACATGTATGCTAGCCAAAGCTGTAGTGTTAACTTTGGAAGGCTTGTTGCAAAAGTTTCAGTCTCATTTCAGTGAAATTTCTTGTGAATTTCTGTGGAAAGCAATACTTGCTGCAGAGTTCACTCTAAAGTCACTTTTAGGCCCAATCCCAATTCTATCCCTTAGACCTTCCCCTTACCCCTACATTCATAACGCTGTTCGTGTTTTACCATAATGCAAAAAAAAACCAAAAAAAAAAAAAAACGCTAAAATAAAAACCGCAAAATTTTACTGTCCATAAACCATAATAATAACTCCTGTATAGCAGTTCCAAAACATTCTGTCACTCGAATACCCTGTCAGAAAAGTATATTGGCTGGGAATGAGCTTTTCACAGCTGCTATAATTTTAATGTTGTTTTCGCGAGTTTACATTGATGTATATATCCGCGGTGTAAATACACAGTACAGCTACAATCTTATTGCCACATTATATTGTTATGATAGATTTGTATTGTTGCCTTCAGGGATTTTCTGAAGATAAATACCCAAAAAACGCAACTTTAATAACTACAACAGTCGTGATTGTCTATCTCATATGTAGAAAGAGATCGTGATGACATATGATGACGTGTGCAGGTGCTGTAGTGCTGTACTATTTCTTACATTTAGAACCCTTTTCTTACATTTCGAAGCCCTTACTCTTCACACTCTGTTTCACGGGCCAAGGGGAAGGGGTAGGGGTACACAAATTTAATTGGGATTGGGCCTTAAACTCAGCAGCTTTTTATTAGTCACCACGACAAAACTGCATAACCTAAATGTGAGCAAAATCTGCCAACATAAAATTTTTGCCCTTACATACCATACTGTCAGTACTCACGTAACATCAACAAGGCAACATATGCTGTTATGTAAACTCTACTCTTAAATGCCAACCAGTTAATCTTTAAAGTTCTTGTATAGACCCTTTTCACATTTCTGGTTTCCTCCATGACGGAACTCCCCATAGTTGGGTTACCTTAGAGAGCTGTGAATGGGACAGTATCACAAATACATTTTTTGCATTACAATTAGCTTCAATAACAAAAGAAAAACTCCATGATAGTGTTATTTTAAAAAAGTGTGAGACTGATAAAGGCAGCCAGAGCAGAGAAACTATGCCAACTTTACTGTCCTGTCCATAGATGCTGCATTAGAAAGGCCATGCATAAGCATTAACTATTTTTTGTAGCAAGATGATGTAATACAAAGTATAAATTCATAATACATACATTTTAAAACAAATCTAAGTAGCTGAGACAACATCACTGTCTTGTGAAAAGGGTCCACTTCAACAATAGGACATGACAGGGTGGGAAGTGGAGGATTGTGCTTGGTATGATTAGCAGTGGGCTAATTCAAAGCGTTGTTTTGTCTGTTGTAGTGTCAGTTTTGTCTGACTGTCATAATCACATTGTTTGTTTTTTGCTTTGTTTTGACTGGCCGCGGGGACGTTTACCTGCTCTTCCCATGATCCCCATAGACCGTGAACCTGGACCAGTGAGTATCTGTAGTATCTGTCTTTTATCCCTCTCTCTCTGTCTCTCACTCTGACTCTTTCTAGTTGAGTTCTCCTCAGTGCAGACTGTCATGCATTAGGCTTCTCTATTGCCTGTGGGTCCAGCAGTTATGGAGCTGATTTGATTTATCCCTCGTCTCCTACATCATTATCTCTTTCTTCTCGCTGACACACACACACACACACACACACACACACACATACATACACGCACATCCTCTGTCTCTCACTCCAGCGTTCTTCCTTTCCACTCTCATTTTTTCATCTTACTCCTCTTTTCCCAGAGTTCACTCTCAAACGGAGACAAAGGGAGGTCCTCAGACTACCTCAGCAATGGAAAAAAGAGAAAAGCAGATGAGAAGGAGTTTATGACCGACTATGTAAGCGTTCTTCCCGTGTTAAATTTGCATCCTTTTATGAATCATGATTTGAGAACACGCACAACTTTGAAGCATTTTCTCTTTCAGGGCAGCGACGCGGAAAAGAGTGATGACAATTTGGTTGTTGATGAGGTTGGTTTGTGTTAAAGAGAGAACTCCAAAACAAGGTTACTCGTGTCTTTCCCTGATTAATCCATCATGTGCTTTGTGTTCCCTCAGGACCCTTCTTCGCCAAGAAGCGTGCAGTCGTACTCCTCAAGAGAGAACGGATTAGATAAACTTCCCCCTTCCCGTAAGGAGCCTCTGCCCCAGGCCAGTCCGACCTCGCTGGCTTCCTCCAGCAGTGCTGCTTCCCCTTCACGCAGCAAGGAGCCTCCACCGGTACATATATATTACTCAGAAATGCTTGCAAGAGTGTTCATTTTCTAAATGAGCAGTGCATTTGTATAATATTAGTCCCTCCAGGATTTCACAAAAAAATCAAATGTTTTCGACTGGGTGGAGTTATTGCTAAATTTGCTGCAAATTTTGCACCATTTCTTTTTTTGCTTTTGAAAATACACAAATGTGCATGTCTTCTTTATCATTTTTTACATCGAGAGTCATTGATCACTAAGATTTCTATAAAAGAATCAGAGAAACTATTCTTGATCTAACAAATATTTGACAATGAAACCAAATGAGCCAGTTTCTGTGCCCGACGATTGGGTTGTTGTGGACGTAACCTTCGATCCCCACCATTTCCACAATGCACCGACTCCTTACGGCTCCCCTGCAGATCTCGGATACAAGTGGCTGAAATGAGTTTTCTTTGCAAGGTGGGAGGGCGCACCCTTATAGGAGCTCTGCCACACTGGAGGAGCTAGGAGTAGAGCCGCTGCTTCTCCACATGGAGAGAAGTCAGATGAGGTGGCGTTTTAAATCTGTTTCAGATGCCTTCTGGACGCCAACCTAGGGAGGTGTTCCAGGCATTCCTAACTGGGAGGAGTCTCTATGTCTCTTGGCTGGCCTGGGAACGCCACAGGATCCCCTCGGAAGTGTCTGGGGAGAGAGAAGTCTGGGGTTCTCTGCTGCCTTTACGACCCGGAGGCGGAAAAGTGGATGAAAATAAATTAATGAATGAAACCAATTGTTTGAAAATAAATACTAATTTAGTTTATCGATTATTTGAATGCGTTGATGGAATAAATTGTGTGTGTGTGTTGAAGATAAGGCTACAACAGATGAGTTTATACTATATATATATATATATATATATATATATATATATATATATATATATATATATATATATATATAGTAGATTAGCAGTTTAGTTCAAACAGGTTTTGAATGCATGTTGCGAAACACACCTTGTGAAAAGCGTCCTGAATGCCCAACATATGCTGGAAAATCTGCAGCAATTTTACAAAAATTTGCTTGAGTTTGCCTTAAATTCTTTGTGGAATTTCGAAATCCTGGATGGTCTGTAATTTCAAACAACCATTTTACAAACTCTAGAGTCCTGCAATGCCCTTCATTTGCCGGAGTGTCTTCCTCCAGCAAAAAACAAACTCTCTTTTATATCAAAGCTTGTTCCTCGAATAAAATTGTTAGAATTGTAAAACTGGCACGCCAGAAATTTGAACAGTCCTAAATGGCAAAGATATGCAGCAATTTTACAAAAATTAGCTTGAGTTCGCCTACAATTCTTTGTGAAATTTCAAAATCCTGGATGGTCTATAACATCAAACAAGTTTTCCCTCCCCCAAACTGTAGATTCTTGCAATGTCTTTCATTTACCAAAGTGTCTTTCTCCAGCAAAAAACAAACTCTCTTCTATATCAAAGCTTGTTCCTCGTCTTGCTTTTGCTGTCAGTTTTCTAAAACTGCAAAGACTGACAGTTCTCACTTGAGTTTCACTACCTCTGCTCTTTTTTTTTTTGAGCCCCATTGGCTATGTATGTTTCTTGAATAATTAATGTGTGCAAATGCGTTCCCTAACCTTGCAGAGAGAGAAGTCCAGCACTCCAGGGATGAAGCCTGGAACGCCCATGTCCCAGGAGTCGTCCACTCCAGGCCCCAGCGTTCCTCCACAGTTTCGTCCTGTTCCTGGGAAACCAGGGGTTGACCCTCTTGGTAAGATCTTGTTAAGCTGATAGTCTTTGAGTGAACGTAGAGAGGGTTTAGTTCAACCTGGTTTGAAAGTCTTTATTCAGGGTTGACAGCTAGTCAGCCAGCAGAGGGCAGTAGTGGTCTTCCTCTTTCAGACAGGATGTCTTGTTTTATTTTAAATGTATCATGGTTCTGAGCCCGTGTCCTTGGAGGCTGTGTAATTGTTTTAGCATTCTTGGGAATGATATTAATGGGTCAATGACATGACACTCATCTCTTTCTGACAGTATCTATTCATTTATTCCAAAGTGCAATTCATGCATACAATGACTTGATTACGCCTCTTCTGTTATGGGCATGTTTTTAATATCTGAATTCTTTAGAAAGACTTGGTTCTTTAATATAAATCTAAATCAATATAAATCTAAATTAATATAAATTTTTAATCTAAAAATCTGTTGTCATTTATGTACCCTTCACTTGTTCAAAACCTGTTTGAGTTTCTTTCTTCTGTTTATCACAAAACAACATATTTTGAAAAAGCCCATTGAGTTCCATAGTACTTTATTTTTTATTAGGTCTTTATTTCTTATTATAGCAGTTAATGGGTGCCAGCAACCAGCATTCTTCAAAATGTCGTTTTTTGCATTCAGCTGAAGAAAGAAAATCAAAAATCTTTAAAACCACACGAGGGAACGTAAATGATGAGGCAATTTTTAAGGGTCAGTTGTTATAATGTATCTGTTGCCCAAAAGACCTGATATCATAAGGAGTTCTTTCATAATTCATAATTAAGCAAAAGCTCTTTTACTCTTTGCTTGACCATCAGATTAGATGTCTAACAAACCTCCAATTGTCTGTTTCTGCCTTGTGCCCCATTTCTAAATTTCTTAGCATTGGGTCTAAGGAATCCGTTGGCAGTTCAGGGCGCATATCCCCCTGGTGCATTTGGTCTTCCTCCTCCGGGAGTTAATGGTGAGTTGGCTGGAGCTGCGGGATATGGTGCTGGTCTCCACCTCGTCTCCCCTCAGATGAACGGGTCGGCTGCTGCTGCTGCCGCTGCTGCTGCCGCCGCTGCAGGATATGGACGTTCACCTGTGGTGAGGGGGAAAATCATTTTTTTTTAGAAGTATTTTATATTTTACTTCCCTGCACCTTAACGATTCAGTCTCAATGATTCTCTTGCTTTCCAAGGTGGGCTACGAGTCTCCTCACCCTCATATGAGAGTTCCAGGGTTACCGGGTAGCCTGCAGTCAGCAGCTACGGGAAAACCGTAAGTTTCTAATGCAAGGTTTATTATTCATGTCAAATGGTGTAGTCGAATCAATCTTGAAGAAAATGTTAATCACACTTCTTTCCCGCCCCCAGTGCTTACTCGTTCCATGTGAGCGCAGATGGTCAAATGCAGCCGGTGCCCTTTCCTCCTGATGCCCTCCTCGGCCCTGGCATCCCACGTCATGCTCGTCAGATCCACACTCTGAGTCATGGAGAGGTGGTGTGCGCAGTCACCATCAGCACCTCCACACGCCACGTCTACACCGGTGGCAAAGGTTGTGTCAAAGTATGGGACATCAGCCAACCAGGCAGCAAGAGCCCGATGGCCCAACTGGACTGTTTGGTGAGTTTTCATCATGTTCAACAGTTCTGAAAGTTTGTACTCTTCATCTTGGTTGGAATTAATGATGTACATCCTTTTGTCCAATCAGAATCGAGACAACTACATCCGCTCATGCAAGCTTCTTCCAGATGGGCGGACCTTGATAGTTGGGGGCGAGGCCAGCACACTGTCTATCTGGGACTTGGCCACACCCACTCCACGCATCAAGGCTGAATTGACGTCCTCGGCTCCGGCCTGCTACGCTCTGGCCATCAGTCCGGACAACAAGGTCTGCTTCTCCTGCTGCAGTGACGGAAACATCGTAGTCTGGGACCTGCACAACCAGACACTCGTCAGGTATCTACAGCCTCCTGCTGCTCAGATGAACCACATTTTTTTCCCCTCACAAGTTTATGTGATGTTCTTGTTTTGACCTCCACAGGCAGTTCCAAGGCCACACAGATGGAGCCAGTTGTATTGATATTTCTAATGATGGGACCAAATTGTGGACGGGAGGTCTGGACAACACTGTACGCTGCTGGGACCTGAGAGAGGGGCGACAGCTGCAGCAGCATGACTTCACATCACAGGTAATGAACATTTGCAGCTCCTGCTATGTCCATATGAATCCAGATACATTTGTAACGTTACGTTAGAAAGCTTATTTTCTTCTCCAAGTTATGGTCTTTCATCCACACCAAGACAATCTCTTGCACTTTTTGAAGATGGCAATATTAAGGAAGTTGATCAATTTATAAAACCACTTCATGTCATGTGAAGTGTATTGTACCATATGTGATGCTAGCCTTTAGTTTTAATAGTATTTGTAAACAAATAAGCAGTAAAACAATTGAATTCTGCTGGTTCTTTGACCGTGTGTTATATGTACTGTAGTAAACATTGGAACTGGATAAAAGTTAATCTAAGTAGAGGTCTGCATTCCCATGGCTGTAGCAGGACCCGACCAGATTTCCTGCGACGTGGGAATAAATTTCAGAATAAAACGTGATATCTGTCGGTAACTCTGGTGTAATTTAAACGGGGCCGAGTGGTCTAACAATTTAGCGCTCCTGAGCCTTGACATTATTTTGGAACAGCATATCAATGATTTCCTCATTCTTATTGAGCACCGGTACAACCAGTTACACACGCTAAACACATGGACCAGTTATCTGCATGTGCATTTTGCGCGCATAATCTGCAAAACAAGCAGGCTTTACCACGGCAGAAGAAAGTGAAGATACGCTGTCCTTGAAAGACGTTCAGCTTGCATAAGAAAATGGTCAGTTTACTGTTAGGAAACCCACATCAGGCAAGTGGGATGTATGGGAGTCTTTTTAACCTAAAGTTTTACGATTTAGCCGTCAAAGGGGTCGCACAAGGGATGCGCAGTCGGCAGCTGCCCCTGGCGCCCCATGTATGACTCAGGACATTGTTCATATTTCTGCCACAGAGCGCCATCTGAATAGTTTCATTTTAAATAACATGCGAATGTGCGTGTCCGGCGAATGTTTTTCCAATTGTCAAATCCATGTCGACCAGCTTTAGAAGACTGGAACCTCAGGTTTAAGGCAGCACTTATTTCTCATCACAAAGGGGCAAACAAAACTGACATTTAACCTATAATTCTCGCACAACCTATAGTTTTATCTGTTACCTCTCTCTTTTGGAAGTACCCAATTAAAAACATGAGATTTTGGAAACCTGATCTAAATTTAGTGGGAACGGTTGGGTCGGGTAAAAAACTATTCTAAGTGGGCAGTGGGTGAACAAATACTGAATATACACCGGGAGCGGTTATGTGCGGAATAAAACATGACGGGAGCCGGACTAAAAAAAATCAGTCCCGCGTAGACCTCTACATCAAAGTTGTTCTATGGCCAGCAACAATAGCCTCACTGGCAGTCCATGACTTAGTGCAACTGCACATCGGGCATTCAAATCTTGGCTCAAACACAGGTATTGTTCAATATACATATTGTTTGTGATGAAAGGTTTTGATCCACTTCAACTGTTGACTACTATATTATAAGTACTTGTTGTATAAATTTAATTTGGACCTTTTGTCATCGTAAGTTGGACGTTTGCCATGTTATCACTGTCCTGACCCACTAACATTAGTTGCAATTCACATCCCCTAACCAAGTATCCACCAGATGCACACTTTAGAATTGGATACCAGATGCTTAAAATTGATCATGCTTATAGAGAACATTTTAAAATAAAAGCACCTCATGAGGTTCAGTTGTCATTCATACACTGAAAAAAGTGTTGCATGCAGAACTGTTGCAAACAATTTATTTGTGTTGAATTTAAACAAACAAATTAAATTGAATAATGTTCAGCTTAATTTGTTTGTTTAAATTCAGCCCAAATAAATTGTTTACAACCACTCAACGTAAAAAATTGAGTAAATCCAAGGAATCATCTTTGAATATTTTTTTTTTCAATGTATGTTGGAACCAGGAAGGAGTTTGAGCTTTATTGAAAGGAAGTATTTATTTCTGCCTGCAGATCTTTTCTCTGGGTTACTGTCCCACGGGCGAGTGGCTTGCAGTGGGGATGGAGAGCAGTAATGTGGAAGTGCTGCACGTCTCCAAACCAGACAAATACCAGCTACACCTTCATGAAAGCTGCGTTCTCTCGCTCAAGTTTGCCTACTGTGGTATGTTTGATTTTTGTGTTTCTCTTTAAGTATGCCTTGTTTTCCAGGTATTAAAGGGATAAAATTCAATTGACTATTTATTCATTTTTAATTGCTTCCAAATCTTCGAGTTTCTGTTTGGAGCTCTGGTAAACCTGAAACCCTTGACTTATATAGTAATAGATACTATGAAAGTCAAGATTTACTGGTTTTAGGCTTTCTTCAGAATAACTTCTTTTAGGGAACATTCCACTAAAAATTAGGCCAAAATTGGGAGTTTTAAATGAAGGACTGTGGGATAACAAGTTCTTTTTAACTTTGCAGGTAAATGGTTTGTAAGCACAGGCAAAGATAATCTACTGAATGCATGGCGAACTCCTTATGGATCAAGCATATTCCAGGTATTGTGTTTATTTTTGTTTGTATAATATTGTTTGCTGATTGTAAAAACTCGAGTTGCGCTGCGACTAACTGTTAAGAACGCTGTTTACATGACACTGTTTTCCATCATTTTCTGAACAAAAGATTTTCAGGGCCTGAAAATGAAAGTTTATTCACAAGTACAAGTTTTTGGTTTGATAAAGTCTATATACATTACAAAAATGTGATGTTTGTGAAAACTGGTGTCATGTGCGCGCACACAATATGTTCAGTCTACTGACGCATCAGTACTTGTCAACTAGTATAAAAATGGTGGACTATAGGATCAGATGTTCATAGTGTTTATAACATCGCAACGTGTTGTTAGTGTTAAGGTTGATTTATACTTTTGCGTCAAGTGCACGAGTATGGTCTGACGCAGCCTTTGCGTGTTCCCATAGTCCTCCCCGTAGACACTCACGTGCACCTCTCAAAAATGTAACTACACGTTGCAATGACTCTAGCGCAAGCACTGTGATTGGTCTGCGTGTGGGGGCGGTGAGCCTTGTCGAGTCCCGTGAAGGAACTCGCAATGTTTTGTTTGTTTACCTTATGATTAAAGTTGTTGCACATCCGCCGGTTCCCGCCCCAGAATGAGCAAGTTTAAGCTACTTGTACATTAAGGTAGTGTCCAGAAAAAAACAAAGCAACCACGAAGAAACTTAATACAGAGGAGCATAACACAATCTACTGCCAGCTAGTGTTTTGGAAGTGTTATTGCAGAGAAACTCAAACAGCACGCAGAAGTATAAATGCACGACTACGTGCAAGGTATGCACCGTGGGTCACGATGATCGCTCGCCACAGAAGTATAAACCATCCTTCAGTAAGCTTTAGTAAATTTATAATAGTAATAGTTAGCTTTTAAATGCTGCCGAATTTCCAGAAACATGCTGTTTTTCATACCCCACAAGTTTTGGAATAAAGATATTTTAGAATAAATTGGAGATCTCTCTCATCCTCCATAGACAGCAATTGAAACAAAAACATTTCATGCTGTCTTTCATGACTTCAGTGGTCCACTTATATTCATACAAAGCGCCATTTACACTTTGGTGTGCCAGACAGTTGTTTATGGAGGATAAGAGAGCTCCTGGATTTCATCTAAAATATCCTCATTTGTGTTTTGAAGATGCACGAAGGTCTCAGGGAAACAACATGTGTAATCGATAGCCCCTTTTACACATACAGACCTTTATGGAAAATTACTGGCAATTTTCCTGAAAGGTCTGTTTATGTGAACATGCATGTTTTGAAAATACTGATAAATTTGTTTGTTTTCAGCAAAGAGAATTTGTAACATTACTGGTAATTTGCTGGAATGCTGCGCTGTGTGAACGCAAAAATAAAATAGCCAGAAAGAGCGCGTGTACGTTTAAAACGCGCTGACGTGACGCGTGTACTCCAGCCAATCAGAACATTCAGACGCATTCACATCCGGGCTGTTTATGAAAATAAAAGCCTTTGAACATTTTTTCAGACACATAAGCTGCTAGTTGTTAGTCAGATAACGTTTCCGTGTTCCTTCTGAATGCCAACTGTGTAAATGATTATCATTAAAATGCTTATAATAAACCGCTGATTGTTTACCTTCAAGCTCTGCTTCAGTTGCTTCACATGTGTTCACGTTAAGTGACAGAGTGCTCCGGTGAGCACCAGCACGCACACATATGTACATCTCGACACACGAAAGTCTTCCTTTATATATTTTTATCGAAGTTGTTCACAATACTGATCCATCCACAGAGTTTGTAATGTAGTCTAATGTTTACACATGCAAGCGCAGCTGTTTAGAGCTCATTTCTGGTTAATGATGTCAGGATTTTGCTGTTTTTTTGGAAAGGGTGTTTAAACAGTCTTTTACAAAAACATTCCGAAACATCCGAGCCTGTGTAAACGTCGCTTTTTTGACTTTTACCGGTAAAGTCGTTCCAGAAATTTTCTGTATATTTACCGGTATCACTGTGTGAAATGGGCTAAGGACAGAAGTGTTTCTTTTTTTCATATTGTGTTTCTATTCTCATTAAATTCTGGACCCTTCACGTTTTGTGTCTTTTAAACATGTAGCAAAAGCTGCTATTACTCACTACTTTTTTACTCTGTTTCAAATTTACTATTCATTGTCTATTTTTCCAAAAACAATTAACTTTTTTTAATTTAGATCATACACTGTCATTTTATCGTTATTACAGGAACCTTTATTATGACGAATCCTCAACAAGTCAAAACTGCACATTTATTGATGAACAGGTTCTTTTTGTCAGTGTTTACAAGACGAGCAGTGCTCAGAAGTTTAGTCTGAAGTTCTAACCCTGTTGTTTCTGTCTCCAGTCCAAGGAGTCGTCGTCCGTCCTCAGCTGTGACATTTCCCCTGATGACCAGTTCATCGTCACTGGCTCGGGAGATAAGAAGGCTACTGTGTATGAAGTCATTTACTAAACCGAATGTGCTCAGATCGTCGTCCGTTGAACTGATTAGATGGAGGAGAAACGGATTCATCATTTCGCCTCGGAGTTTGTAGAGACAAAAGGTGCGACATGGACCTGAATATGAACTCTGCGGGACGGCTGTGCTTTTCTACTCCAGGACGGGATTGGTGGATCTCCAGAACTGACCTTGTTGTTTTTTTAATGCTGTGAGGAAAGCTGGTAGTCTAGCTTGAAAAACGTGGAATTTCTCCAAAGACCTCCTCTTTTCTTCTTTTGTCTTTCTTTCTTTTTTTAATAAAAAAAAATACAAGATGAAACCTCTGTAGTGAATATAATAGAAAAAGAAATCTTATTTTTTTAGCCTTCGGAATTTTCATGGACTATTATGGAGCCGTGGTGTATGAATGAATTATGACGAGACCTAAAGGACTGGCCTAAGAACTTCTTCATCGATTGTGTTTTTATTTGTTTGTTTTTTTTTTGTAAAAGCTGACCTGATTATGATTGTATGGATGATGTTAGAAGAAGATGATGGAAAGGACAACAAGGCTCTGGATTTTAGGGTTTCATTGACTTCAGGGAAACGGCTATAAAGACTCTCGGTTAACGTCCTATCACGTGAATACTGTATGTTGGAGCATGTTGAAAATTATTTTGACTTTGGTCGCAAACTTGGTATGTATGAACTGTAAATAAAGCTCTTTAAAAGCCAGAAGATACATACTGTTTAAAATAGTGTTGATTTGTACGATCTTAAGTTTTTTTTATTTTTGAATTTCACTTTTTTACATACTTCAAAACAAACAAACAAACAGAGCGTAATTAAAAAAACTTAAAAATATATATTTAAAATGTGGAAATCCTTTTTCACTTTTATATATATGTTTTATTTATATATGCACAATTTTATAAGGAATTGAATGTGTTTAAATGAAGTAATGTATATATTTTTTTTAAAAGCTAAAGAACAGATAATGAAATATTTATTAATAATTAAACTGTCAAACAACTATAAAACATAAATGCAGCTTGTTTACTATGAAAAATTCTTGTAAATAGCTTAAAATAAAATTTGTATTTATTAGAGTTGGAATTAATTCCTCTAAATGTGTAATGATTTGTAGTGCATATTTACACTGTGATTTAAATAGATGCTTATTATTAAAAGATTAACAAAATACTAATTAAAATAAACCTATTTGAAAATATATGGAAACAAAAGTTGATAAATGGAAAAAAATACATATAAAATGTGTGTATGTGTGTGTATGCATCTATATGTATAAATATATTGAAATTGAATATATTTTTATTTGTATATGTAATGTATATGTGTATGTATGTATATATATATATATATACATACACACACACACACACACACACACACATATATATATATATACATATACATATATATACATATACATATACATATATATATATATATATATATATATATATATATATATATATATATATATACATACACACACACACACACATATATATATATACATATACACATATATATATATATATATATATATATATATATATATATACATATATACATATATATATATATACATATATATATATATATATATATATATATATATATATATATATATATATATATATATATATATATATATATATATATATATATATATATATATATATATATATATATATATATATGTATATGTATATATATATATATACAAACATATATACACACATATGTACATCTATATACAGTTTTACAAAAATACTGTTGAAGTCAAAATTACTGTTTAACTGAGAGATAATACAACACATTTTTAAACAATAGTTTTAATAACTCTTTTCTAATAACTGATTTCTTGTATCTTTGCCATGATGACGGTAAATATTTTACTATATGTGTATATATATACACACATACATATACATATACACATACATACACACAGTGTGTGTGTATGTATACATATACATATATACACATACATACAATATAAATACTCAACCAATTTTAAGAACTGGACAACTTAAAAAAGATTACCACAAGTTTAATTTGTCAATGTATATATGTCTTACATCACATGGGAAGTGCTACAGGGATATCACAGCGATGCTTTCCAAAAAAAAAAAAAAAGTTCCTTGGCTTTCAAGAGTCTTTAAAATCCTGACAGTGAACATTGTTCTCAGTATACAAACATAATGCATTATATAAGGGTTGATAGATACAGATATTCAGATAGCATGATGTCAAAGACAGATCGTGCAGCATAGACGGTCTATCTTGAAACAGCCATATTTTCAGCTATTAAAAAAAAAAAAAAGAACACCGCACTTTCTGCATAATAAACAGACTGATCAAAACACTGTAGTAACACTGCTTACTATTGCCATAAAAAAAAGAGAAAGAACTTGATACAATTCCTTCAGTTAACAAGCAAAAATGGTTCGACTCATCCAACCGTTTGTTTTTTTTCTGAGCTCTGAGAAATGCTTTATAGAACAAAAGAATAATGAATGAAACAAAACTGTAATATAAAAAGGATCTGTTCCCAGCAGGGTGTTTGGTGCATGTGGTAGATGAATCCTTTTGTGTCTTTCTTTGAACATTCCTGGCCTGGGTGGCAACCACAGCTCTTATTAATGGGATGCATCAGGGCTCGGTGATAGGATCTTTCAGATTGGCAAGCTGTTTCTCTGTCTGACTTGAGAATAGGTGAAATTAGGGGACGGTAAAGTGATTAAAAATTATATTTATATTAATTACACAATTTCCATATTTCATCATCACATTCAAACTGAGATATCAATATTTTCAGCCCCCAAAGTAAATCGTTTTGTCTTCATGAAGATACTGTTAGATTTTCTTCCATGCTTTATTATTTATTAACAATTATCCGTAACATTTTTTTTTACAATATTAAGCATCACATTTATTCATTAATTTTGATGACACACCATCCACAGTATTTTTAGATTTTGTATTATAGGTCCTGATGAACGGTTTCAACTCACTTTAAAAGAACAGAAGATTTCCCAGTGCAAAGCTAAAATATAATTAATGAGCATTAAACCACAAACGAGCGCAACATCTGTATGATAATCCGCGGGAATTAAAACGAATAATGATTGTGGTTGTGAATATTTGCCACGTGAATCCTGCATGATTTACCCTGGCTCCTCATTAGACGCTGACTGGTGGAAGAAGGAAATTAAATGCAGGTTGAAGAATTCGACTGGGATTTGCCACATGAATGTCTAATTGGGTTGGATAGGCGAGAAGAGAATTGCTTGTACACCCATATCTTGTTCATCCAGATATCCTCCAAACCGTCTTTTCACACTGGGGGGGAATATGTTGCACTCACTTTAGGCAGGGAGTTTGCGCCTAATGAAATGATTGTCTGGTTTTGGTGTTGCTGTAAGCAGAAGCTCCCCAAGTACCTGCTGTTTGTGGGGCTTCCGCTTTTAGCTTGGAGATTGCTCTGATTTAAACCTCTCCACTCGCTTGCTATACTCGTAATGAAACACTAGCACACTGCACAAAGTATATGCTTTATCCGCTTGTTAAGTCGTGGCGTATGAAATACTGTTATTAATTACACTCATTAATGTGTATATTATATAAAATCATGGTGTACGCAACAGTCTCTGGACTTGTATGCACCAATATTTAAACAAATTATTGAAAACAAATGATCACTTTCTGGCCATCGGATATTAGGAATAGATGAATATGTTGTGATCGTGATTTTTGAAAGTATTACTTTTTTTATTACCATTTGTTGAGTCTCCCTATACAGTTTGACAGAGCGATTGGACCCTGAAGCTTCTTCGAGTGACGTCACACTTAGCAAGTGGATACTGGACAGTTAAAAACAATAATACAAACAACGTAATACTATAAGTAGTATGCTTAATTGTTGCAAATATAGGGTGTTAACATGACGATCAATTTTGAAAACATATGACAATGGCTATCTCCCATACCCTGTCATGTGAAAAATTTTAAAAAGTATTTTCAAAAATGAGATTTTTCCCGCCATTTTTGCTACACGACAATACGTTGAGGAAGTGAAGTTTCGAGGGAGATTGAGAGAGATGGAGGCGGGGTGTGGGGGGTAGTTGTGGTGTAGGATTGGGAAATCGGCATGCCAGATGCGCAATGATTCTACATGCTGGTGTCCGTGCAGCAATTGAAGGTGGTGAAAAAATTACTCTAATTTTTAATGATGAATTTTTTGCCGTTTTGCCTTTATTGCGATAGGACAGCATGTAGACAGGAAGCCAACTTGGAGCTAGAGAGAAGGGGGATGGCATCGGGAAATGTTCGCGAGTCAGGACTTGAACTCAGGACACCCGAAATCCCCACAATGCTATCGCAACTGACAAAAAAGAAATCACCAGTAGGTGGCAACAAACTCCATGCACCTGCATACATACGGCCCTGTATTGTGCCATTGTTGTTTGGGCTGTCAAGCACTTGTGTAAGCAAATAAAGCACCATCTGCATGATGTTTTCACAAAGTCATGTTTATGTTATTAAATTAAAAACATTAATAGTAGTGCTTTCCAAAACTTGCTAACTTTTAAAAGCCAGTGTCTAATTCTTTTAGTCAATTGAAATACAGTTGTCAATCATCTTCAGGGTGTAAATAACAAGTAGCCAAAATAAATATATTGGTAAAGTCATTCGTTTATTTTCCTTTGGTTTAATCCCTTGTTTATCAGGAATCGCCACAGCAAAATGAACCATCAACTATTCCAGCATGTGTTTTACGCAGCCCTTCCAGCCGCAACCCAATACTGGGAAACACCTCTACACACTCTTATTCACCCATACACTACAGCCAATTTAGCTCATCCAATTCACCTATAGCGCTTATCTTTAGACTGTGGGGGAAGTCGGAGCACTCGGCGTAAACCCACGCCAACACAGAACATGCAAACTCCACACAGAAATGCTAACTGGCCCAGCCGGGACTCAAACCAGCAACTTTCTTGCTGTGAATCAACAGTGCAAACCACTAAGCCATCATTCTGCCTATATTGGTATTGTTAAGTAAAAATCGTTAGACATCAATCCACTGGCTGTTGATTAGAGATGTTAACGCAGGTTTGCAGAAAGGGGTGGGGTTTAAACCAACTATATGATTGAAGAGGTCGGTCATATATCAGCTTGTCTTTTGACAGGAAGGTCAGGTTATTTGTTATTAAATCGGTTAAAATTGGTTTCAACAAGATTAAGATGCATTAGGAAAATTGGCCGAATTTCCATCTCATGTCAGCTTTAAACTGGAAGGTCACTTTGAGCACAATTACATTTTTATACAGGACGTTTTGGTAAATGTAGTATGTAGCACAATGTACTACAAAATGTACAATGTAGAATGCTAATTTGAAGAAAGCCTTTTTCTATCTCTGAAACAGATGGAGTGAAAGGACCATAAATGAAAGAGCCATGGTTGCCCGAGATGTCGGCCATGATTGTGTCATGCTTGGTGTTCTTTGTTCATTCTTGCGTCTGCGTTCAGTACACCACCTCATACACCGTGGCTTTCTTGTCCCCAGATCCAGTTACAATATACTTGTCATCTGGAGACACGTCACAGCTCAGGACAGATGAGGTCTCCTTTGACTAGAAAAAAAAAAGAGAAAGAAACGAAATCAGACATTTTTCCAAATAATATTAAGCTAAACTGTAATATTTTTCACGTAATGTCTTTTAAATATGAGCTTTATTCAAAGACATTTTCCTATTAAGACACCATTCACAATAGCATGTTTGGTGCGCACCCACAAACTGTACTCATACAGGGGTGGGGTGGGGTGGGGGGTTGGTGTCTGGGGTATGTTTTTTGCTATATAAATAACGCAGTCAGACCATATCACAAATATGTGCTGCTATAATTATTATTAATTAGTTACATTTTATACATTTGCTTACTCATTTTGAGGGGCCAATTGACCCAGAGTACAAACCAGACAATTGATTCCAATGTGAAAGCACACTTAAAGAACAAACTAGTTTGACATAATTTCATACATAATTAAAAATTCTTCAAAAGTTTGAGTTTGAAAAAGATTGACAGAGCGGACTTTTCCAGGGCTGGGTCATGGGGGCAGCAGTCTTAGGAGAGATTCCCAGATTTCCCTCTCCCCAGACATTTCCTCCAGCTCCTCCAGGGGATTCCCGAGGCGTTCCCAGGCCAGCCGAAAGGCATAGTCCCCCTCCAGTGTGTCCTGGGTCTTCCCCAAGGCCTCTTCCCGGTAAGACATGTCTGAAACACCTCCCTAGGTAGGCATCCAGGAGGTTTCCAAAACAGATGCCCGCACTACTTCAGCTGACCTCTCTTGATGTGGAGGAGGAGCAGCAACACTACTCCGAACTCCTCCTGTGTGACAGAGCTCCTCATCCTATCTATAAGAGTGCGCTCTGCCACCCTGTGAAAGAAACTCTTTTAGGGCACTTGTCTTCAAAATCTTGTCCTTTCGGTCATGACCCAAAGCTCAAGACCATAGGTGAGAGTAGAAATTTAGTGACCGGTAAATCAAGAGCTTTGCCTTTCGGCCTTCTTTACCACAACAGACCGGTACATCAACCGCATTACTCCTGTCGCTGCACCGATCCACCAGACAATCTAATCCTCACTTGTGAACAAAAGACACTTGAACTCCTCCAACCTGGAGATGGCAAACCACCTTTTACAAGTGGAGCACCATGGCCTTAGACTTGGAGGTGATGATTTTCATCCCAGCCATGTCACACTCGGCAGCAAACCACCATAGTGCTTGCTGAAGGATGAAGCCATCAGAAGAATATCATCTTTGAATAATAGGGATGAAATCCTGTGGTCCCCAAACCAGACCCCCTACAGCACAAGGCAGCACATAAAAATTCTGTCCATAAAAATAAAGAACAAAAATGATCACAAAGGGCAGCCCTGCCAAGCCCAGAGCAAACTTTCTGGAGAAATATTAATTCCAGCTGGTTAACTCTTACTAACTCTTAATAGTCCATGTTGAATTAAGTAAAAAGTAGGGTTCCGCTAAGACTCTACCCACTTTGACATGCTAACAGTCTTTGCAGTCTTATAATATTGTTGCAGGATTTGGACAGTCAAAACATCTGTGTTCGTCTTGTGAGTTGGAAAGCAAGTCATACGGGTACAGAACGAACCTGGAAAATACTGGCTCCGTAAGGCGTCCTCCATGCATTGAGAAGATTGTCCTTTCCTGTGCTTACAAACCACTTCCCTGAAACAGAAACAAATCACGTCCTTTAACTTATAAGACAGAATGAAATAACATTTATATTCTATAGGTCATAAATAAGAAAGCCCCGCATGAATACAAGGGCAGAACAGAGTCATTTAGAAGTTGTTCGTTTTAAAGAGCAGAGCGATGCATCACAGTGAATCTCATACCGCAGTAGGCAAACTTGAGCGAGAGAACGCAGCTTTCATGAAGGTGTAGCTGGTATTTGTCTGGTTTGGAGACGTGCAGCACTTCCACATTACTGCTCTCCATCCCCACTGCAAGCCATTCACCCGTAGGACAGTAACCCAGAGAAAAGATCTGCAGGCACATAAAAGCACATCAATAAAAAGATCAATATAACACATGAAAGTGCAGCTGTGGACGGAAAAATGGACAACAAGTAACTTTAGTCTATAAAAATTCTAAAAACTGGAATTTTTAGGACTCTTTACATCTGGGTGATTGCTTTGCTAGGGTGTGTGCAATAAGATGTGGCAGCTGAAATGTTTTGAGTGGTGGTAGATCTTGTTCAGGTGTAGGCGATGCCTCAGCAGAGATAGTAGATTATTAACTGTGTGCCCATCTACTATGCCACTGTTGATTTTGGATGTCCTGGACAGTATGAATGCGAAAAGTATGAAAGGAATTTGGACGTACTACATCCGCCATTTTGACATAGTCACAAGACGGACCTGCGTAAATTTGCGTCGCTTTACTCCCCTTCATGAATTCGCTCGCTGGGCATCATGGGATAGCGCAGCATGCATGGGATGTGGACTCCAGAATCTCGCCGGAAGTAGTAAGTCATCCGGGTACTTCTCACATACTGATTTTCGAATTCTATGAATTCGGACATACTACTCGGCTCACATACTGATTTTAGCGTACTATATAGTATGGAAGTATGCGGCTTCAGGCGCAGCCCAGGGATCACCAACCCTATTCCTGGAGAGCTACCTTCCTGTAGAATTGAACTCCAACCCTGATCAAACACACCTGAACCAATTAATTAGGACCGGAAACAGCACTTGATAATTACAGACAGGTGTGTTTGCTCAGCTGAAATTTGCAGCAAGGTAGATCTCTATGAATAGGTTTGGTGACTCCGGTTCTAGACTGTTTTAAGTGGTTGCAATTGTTCAGTTGTTCAAATGTTCATTACCTGTGATGTGAAGTCATGCTGCTGCAGCTGTCGCCCTTCTCTCAGGTCCCAGCAGCGTACAGTGTTGTCCAGACCTCCCGTCCACAATTTGGTCCCATCATTAGAAATATCAATACAACTGGCTCCATCTGTGTGGCCTTGGAACTGCCTGTGGAGGTCAAAACAAGAACATCACATTACCTTGTGAGGGAAATAAATGTGGTTCATCGGAGTAGCAGGAGGCTGTAGATACCTGACGAGTGTCTGGTTGTGCAGGTCCCAGACTACGATGTTTCCGTCACTGCAGCAGGAGAAGCAGACCTTGTTGTCAGGACTGATGGCCAGAGCGTAGCAGGCCGGAGCCGAAGACGTCAATTCTGCCTTGATGCGTGGAGTGGGTGTGGCCAAGTCCCAGATGGACAGTGTGCTGGCCTCGCCCCCAACTATTAAGGTCCGGCCATCTGGGAGAATCTTGCATGAGCGGATGTAGTTGTCTCGATTCTGATTGGACAAAAGGATGTAGATCATTAATTCCAACCGAGATGAAGAGTACAAACTTTTAGAACTGTTGAACATGATGAAAACTCACCAAACAGTCCAGTTGGGCCATCGGGCTCTTGCTGCCTGGTTGGCTGATGTCCCATACTTTGACACAACCTTTGCCACCGGTGTAGACGTGGCGTGTGGAAGTGCTGATGGTGACGGCGCACACCACCTCTCCATGACTCAGAGTGTGGATCTGACGGGCATGACGCGGGATGCCAGGGCCGAGGAGGGCATCAGGAGGAAAGGGCACCGGCTGCATTTGACCATCTGCGCTCACATGGAACGAGTAAGCACTGGGGGCGGGAAATAGTTAAAATTTTAAAGAGGTAGTAAACTCAGTAAATCATTATCTTAATTCTGGGATAAAACACAAAAGACATTTTTCGTTTGTAACTTGAACCCAATTGACTTTTACTGTATGTAAATATGTTTACATGTAAAGGAGGGTGGAAAATGGTCAGGACTAATTTACATTATTACTGTTTTTGGACTCGATTAAAACAAGAATAGGAGCTGATTTCCAACCTTTACTACTTTGACAACATAATTATGAGAAGTTTGCATGTTTGTGTATGCGTCATTCAGCGGCAGCAGCAATAATTTGCCTTCTTAAGGATGTTTGCCTTAATTCAAGTGTTTTCCTTGTTGTGGCTGTCAGCGGGGGCTCGAGCGGGGATTGTATTACAAGCACAGCAAACAACAGTAACATTATTTTGCATTAAAAATCAATACACTGACCATAGCTGGGCAGCTGCACCCTTACAAAAAGCAAGTAAAAAAAAAAGATGAAAAACTTACGGTTTGCCACTAGTAGAGCCAGGAAGTGAGGAGGACAGCCCTGAGGGCCTGAGATGTGAACGGGATTCATACGCTACCTGTGAAAGGAAGAACTTAAAGTTCATAATGATAGTCCAAAAGCTTCTGTCAACTCTGTGGCTACATTTACATGACAATGGTGTAGCCAAAAAAGGGAAAGCTTTGTCCTACATGACGTTCATAGCCAGGCAACATAGTTGCTCAGTGGTTAGCACTGTTGCCTCACAGCAAGAGGATTACGGGTTCGAGTCCTAGCTGGGTCAGATGACATTTCTGTGTGGAGTTTGTGTGTTTTCCCCATGTTGGCAAGGGTTTCCACAGGGTGCTCTGGTTTTTCCTCCACAGTCTAAAGACATGCGGTATAGGTGAATTGAATAAGCTAAAATGGGCATAGTGTATGTGGGGGTAAGAGTGTATATGGATGTTTTCCAAAACTGGGTTGCAATCGCTGGACATTCATAGCTTTTTCTACACAACATTTTCATAAATATCTGCATTTATACATATCCGCGAAAACACTGCATGCCAGGTCAGTATTAAGAACTGTCACATTATTAGTAAACAGTAGCTGTAGTACAATGTGCCATTGGGGCTTAACGCTGGTGTGTATATAGAATTTGCTGTGTGTGTAAGATGCGTCTCCGCTGTTGGTTGTGATGTGAAATAATCCACAATTTGCTGATGAAGCATTAGGCAACACTTTAAGTAAATACCAACACTACCACATAATCTGCCATTTTTGTGTGTGTTTGTTTGTGCTTGATTTTAATCTACGCCTCCCTGTAATCTACTTTCGTATTCTGGTGTTCACACGGACACAACAGCAGCTGCATTTTTAAAAAACAAATGTAGGCACTTTCATTAATCCCTTTATTAATTAAGTCCCTTTATTAATCCGGGGTCGCCACAGCGGAATGAACTGCCAACTTATCCAGCAAGTTTTTACGCAGCGGATGCCCTTCCAGCCACAACCCATCTCTGGGAAACATCCACACACACACACACACACACACACACACACACACACACACACACACACACACACACACACACACACACACACACACACACACACACACACACACACACACACACACACACACACACACACACACACTACGGACAATTTAGCCTACCCAATTCACCTGTACCGCATGTCTTTGGACTGTGAGGGAAACTGGAGCACAAGGAGGAAACCCACGCAAAGGCAGGGAGAACATGCAAACTCCACACAGAAACGGCAACTGAGTCGAGGTTCGACCCAGCGACGTTCTTGCTGTAAGACGACAGCACTACCTACTGCGCCACTACCTTGCCCGTATTAGAGTACTGTAAAACCCAATAAGTTAAGGCAACTCAAATCACTTAAGGAACCCAACTGCTACAAACCATTTAAGTAAAAAATATGAGTATAAAAATATATATGAGAATTGTGAACTTACTCCATTTAAGTTGAAGTAATGATGTATTTAATTAACTCATGACCTTCAACGCTGAGTTTAAAACTCTTTTCAAATGAGTAGAATTAACTCTCAGTAAATGTTAAGTCAACTACACTTGAAGATGATTGTTGGGTTTTACAGTGTACATAAACACATATAAATCTATTTTTTATATATACTAAATCTACACATATCAATTTTATCTAAATATTTAAAACCATCAAGGATTTCAGAGGATGATGACCTTAAAAGGCGTCTTGTAAAAAGGGTCCATTGTCATGTAAACGAACAGGCAAAATGTATCAAGACTTTCCTGTTTTAGGCTGAAAACCTTATCTTGTAAACGACCCATGAGAGACTCATATACACAGTTACCATAGGGCTGCGTGTGTAGGCACTGGCTGCAGCACTGATTTGGGGCGAGAGGGTGAGTGAGCCTCCGAATCCGCCCGGACTGGCCAGCTCTCCATTCAGCCCAGCGTGAGACACCACCCCAAAGTGAGCTGGGTAAGAACCGGGCGTCATGGTTAAGGGGCTCCGCAGAGCTGCAGAATACACCATAACACAGTTGTTTTTATTGAGCTGTAGCATGTGTTGACTGCACATTCAAACAGACAGCGTCTCACCCAGAGGGTCTGCCGAGGAGGCAGGTTTGTTGACCAGGCGTAAACAGGACGTGCTGGGTCCCGGTGGGCCGGGTGGACCAGGGGTGAGAGGGTCATGGTGAGAGGGAGAGGAATTGCCTGATTTTGAGGAAGGCGACTGAGATTTTTCTGTCTGCCAATAAAATAGATAGACAGATATTAATGTTACAGTGATTAAACTTTACGTTAAGCTGCTTTGACATTATCTGCACTGTATAAAATGCTATAGAAACAAAGATGATGAGTAAAAGTGCCTTATACAGTAGGGAAAATAAGTATTGAACACGTCACCCTTTTTTTCAGAAAACACATTTGGAAAGGTGGTGTTGACTTGATATTCTCACCGGATGTTGGTAACAACCAACGAAATCCATATATGCAAAACAAAACTAATTAGTTTACCAATTAAGTTATGTGTATTAAAAAGAAATGACGCAGGGAAAAAGTATTGAACACATGAAGAAAGGGAGGTGTAGAAAGGCAGTAAAAGCCTAGACAGCAGCTGAAATCTCTTAGTGATTATTCATCAACCCTCTACCCTTCAACGTTGTAAATGAATATTAGCTGCTTCAGTCCAACATCTACATTAGCAGTAGGATGAAGATCCAGGAAAACCAGGGTGGACATTTTAGCAAATCAATGATCCAAAACACGGCTAAGGAAACTTTCAAATGCTTTCAGAGAAAGAAAATCAAGCTGTAGAATGGCCCAGCCAATCACCTGACTTGAATCCAATAGAGAATACAAAATAAAGGTCAGATTTGATTGACGAGATACCATCAAGATTATTTACACTCTGTTGAGTCTGTAAAAAACTCACACCTGAGCATTTCATGCGACCTCATTCTCCACATGAGAGACAACTTAAAGCTGCCATATCAAAAAAAAGCCTTTTATATAAAGTATTAAATACATTTCAGTTTCAGGTTTGTATTGTTGGGGTTTTTACCAGGATCTGGTTTAATTCCATGTCAACAGCCCCTTTAGAAATATCATTCCCAGGAAAAAACTTGGCATGTTCAATACTTATTTTCCCTGCTGTATATTTCATACTAGAGTACAACAGTATATTTGCTCCATCTGGTCGTCAAACATCAAAGAATCATGTCCCCAGTGAATGTGATGTACTGTGACGTGAAGTGCTGTTGTACTTGTGCCGTGTCCTTGTTTTTGCCAGGGGTTGGGCTGTGTGGCGGGGAGGCTGTGGGGGGACTGGGGGATCCTGGGAGCTCTTTCCTCAGTGGTAGAGCTCGATCCAGTCCATTTCCATGAGGAGAGAGAGGAGCACTGCCGACCGGAGAGGAAGCTTCCTGAAAACAGAGTCAAGGAAAGCAAAACATACTTTAGTTTAGATATGTGCCTAAATCAACCAAAACAAAAATCAGAGCAAAACAATAGACAAATCGGTGCAATAGCCTAGTGGTTAGTGCGATGACATGTGGTTCAGTAGTACCTCAGGGTGTCCCGAGTTCAAATCCCGATTAGAGGACATTTCCCGACCTTACCCCCTCTTTTTCTCCCGCTTCGCTTCCTTTCTCATTACTGTCCTACCTAATAAAGTAACTTCCCTGAAATAGGCAAGCAAGCTTTTTGTCATGCTGCCCCTCATCCTGGAATATTCTTCAGTTTGAACTGAAAACGTCTGAGATCATCCCGATTTTGTTCTATACACCAAACAACATCAATCCATTTGTCAGTGTACGCGCTTTTAACATATTGTGATATAGTATTTGTACTTCCCAAATTACATTATAAGTTGAACGGCATCTACGCTTACGTTAGTCTGTTTTTCATTAACTTGAGGTCTCTATGATCCTAGAGTGGGAGTGAAGCGTATGGGTTCCTAAAAGACCCTAGTGACAGAAAAGTCTCCGAATTGATACCGTTGGCCAGCCTGAACACCTGCCGGTGACCTACTCACACCTGCAGCTTCTCCATGATGGACGTTCAGCATTCTCAAGCCATCGCAACTTCAACTCTGAAAACTGGACTGATGCAGTTTCAATTTACTAGAACTTCTGTTAAGTTGCTTTGATGCAATCAACATTGTAAAAGTGCTATAGAAATAAAGATGAACTGAATAAATATTGCTGAAAGACTAAACTATATACATATATATTTTTTTCAGGTTATCTTTGTAAATGAGATCTCGATCTTAATGTTTTTTTTTACCTGGTTAAATAAAGAAACATATTTAAAAGAAGTAAAATCAAAACAAAAAGGTAAAACAAACTAGTGGCAAAACAAATAAAAAACCCAACCTGACACGAAACACAACAAAACAGTGAAACAACATAAAACAAAACAAACCAAATCAAAAACAAAGAAATAGACTCAAGGAAGGTCAAGATCCTGAGCGCATTTCACTTTCATTTAGATATGCAGTTAAAACTAAACAAAACAAAGCAAAGTAAAGCAAAACAAAGCAAGCTATTGCGTAAAAAAAAAAAAAAAAAACAACAACATCAGAAACAAACAAACCAACCAAACTGAATTTGAACAAACACACCAACATAAAACAAGAAAACAACATTAAACGTAAATAAAAATAAACCGAATTAAAAATTCAAGGACATCCAAGTCTCTATGTGCATTTACGTGAGCGTTTTTTTTTAAAGGTTTTAGATTTTTCCGTAGCTAAAAAGCCCTGGAGGTCAAATAAACAAGGTCTCAATCCATTCACTCATATTTCTAATTACGCCATGTTTACTCAACAGTAAATGACCAAACATTGCCATTTATTCATTGATGTTGGAAGAATCCAAACTGTTTTGATGTTTTTAAATGAGTTAATTGTGCATCAGGGTCACTTAATGATTATTAAAGCACAGAACAGCCTTCAATGACTTCAGCAGAAAACAATCCTGATTCGCCTGTGTGATATTATCAGCAATTACCAAATGAATGCGGTTTAATAAATATGAGTGATGTTCAATATTTATCCAGTAATTGAGAAACAGAGCTGTAACATTTTACCTTGAAATGGCTGATAATGGCGCAGAAATAATAATAATGAATGGGAGTTTTTCAGGAGGAAATGCAATTGCTTGTGCTTTTCTGTAGTCGAATGCAAATATCTCATTAAGATTAAAGTCAGCGTAAGACTTGCCACCACAATGCCAAGCATGGCTAATGAGTGGTTTGGTCTGAGTCTGCTCTTTAGCAAGTGCTGGGACTGATATGTGTTTTGATTTATGTCTATAAAGGCTTTTTTGTGTTGTTGCGACAATATACTGAAAAAATGATCAAATGATTCATGCTTAAGACAAGTATTGCCTAAAATATGGGTAACACACTTTGCTGTACAGTGTCCATGAAACAAATGTTCAATGTACTTACTATATTAGTACAAACAAAATACCTACAATTACTAGCAATTAACCATAAACCTAACCCTTATCCCAACCTTAGCCATTTAGTAAGTACATTTAGTCAAATTACATTACTCAATAATTAAATATATGACCCTCGGCCACAAAACTAGTCATAAATATCAGGTTTTTCAATTGAAATTAATAAATGATCTAAAATCGGAATAATTCCATTTTCTATTGATGTTTAATTCGTTAGGATAGGACAATATTTGGCCGAGAACTAAGTGAAATCTGAGTGTAAAATAGAAAATAAATACTTAGAAAACTTCTTTTAAAGCTGTCCAAATTAAGTTCTCAATAAGGCAAGGCAAGTTTATTTATATAGCACATTTCATACACAGTAGCAATTTAAAGTGCTATACATAAACAGGAATAAAAGAGGCGAGTGTAAGAAAATAAAAACAGATTAAACAGATAAAAATGTGTTAAAATAGGTTATAAGATAATGAAAAAGAAAAGAAAAACATTAAAGTGCAATCTGTCTCGACGCAGCGAAGTGCTTATTCAGTAAAGTCACAGCTAAACAGATTTCAGTCTTGATTTGAATGTGCTTATTGTTGGAGCACATCTGATCATTTCTGGAAGCTGATTCCAGCAGCGTGGGGCGTAGTTGCTAAAATCTGATTCACCCTGCTTGACTGAGCTGTTGGAACTTCAAGTTTATATGATCCTAAAGATCTGAGTGATCTATTAGGTTTGTATTCAGTGAGCATATCTGTAATGTATTGAGGTCCAAGGCCATTTAGTGATTTATAGACAAGTAATAATAATTTAAAACCTATTCTGAATGTAACTCAGCAGTCAATGTAAAAATCTAAAAATACTTTTGATATGTTAATTGGAAGAAATTTGTAATTTGTGATCTTTATTAAATATAACACACAACTAAAAAGGGAAAAACTACCCAAATTAAACTAAGAACAAAACCAAAACAAACAAACAAACAAACAAACAAACAAACAAAAAACTACAAACTAACCAAAATTAAACAAAAAAACAACAAAGTCAAAAAGATAAATAAACACAAAAAAACTTAAACTAAAACCGACACCAAATCCAAAGTAAAACAAAACTAAAACAAAGCAAAACCAAAATCAAATTAAAGAAATCCAAAACAAACCAAAACCTGAAAACAAACCAGATCAAACAAACAAACAAACAATGCCACAATCTAAAACAAAAAGCAAAGACAAGTTAAAAAATTTTAAAAAATAAAATAAAATGCAATGGATCAAACAACTAACTATCTTAAACCAAAGAGAGAAAAAAAGTAAATAACCAACCAAAGTAAACAACCCAAAAAATAAACAAAATGAAACAATGACAAAAAAACAAAAGACAAAAACTAAACTTTATTTCGGCTTTCAACAAACATTTATATAAAAACAATTTAACAAAAATTCTAAACAGGTTGACAGCACCATTGTACTGTAAGTACATACAGATGTCATTTAACGTTGCATGTAAACTGACCTCATTCGAGACGTCTACTACAAGATTGTCCTCGCTCTTGTCTCCATCACTGTCCTGCAAGACAACAAGCAGGAGAAATTCAGCGTTAGACGACACACACACAAAGTCACAGAAACATATATACACACACGACATACACATCAGACCAGTGGTAATATGAGCAAAGAACACCCTGAAGAAAAAACAAAACATCTTGATTGGTTAAACTTTTGATATTTTGTACAAGATATTAAGCAAAAAAATTAAAAATAAAATAAAATAAAATAAAATAAATAAAATAAAAAAGCCTTTTTGTGCCACTTTCTGACCCCAAAACTTTTTAAATTCCCCAGCTGTGATTCCTGGAGATTAATTAATAAATAAATCAATTACAGTATATATATATAAGAGCGGCAGAGTAATGGGAATATATGTGATATTTGTTGTTGAGTATTGCGATAACAATATTTCTTATCATATAACCTTTCCCCTTTAAAAAAATGACCTTTTATTAGCTATTTTTAAAAAGTCATTAATTTATTAAAAGATAATGAAAAAAAAAAATATATATATATATAAATGAATATGTATAATAATATCTAATTCAGGCAAAAAACATATGTCTAGCTGCAAACATATTGGGTTCCATTTAAAGGATCTAGGCACAAAGTCTGAAGCACATGGTGCAAAAGCATTGAGAGCTTGTCTGAATCCACTTTTGCTATTTTAAGGATGGAAAAATACAGTCTGCGCTCTGTTGTGCTTATTCTCTAAAGGAGTTATGGGTGTGTTTTGAGAATAAACCAATCAGACCAATCTCCCATTTCCCTTAAAAATCAGTTGCGTTGCGTCATGGGGCATTTGCTAATAACATGGCAGACTTTGTAAGTCAAAAAAATGAACATTTCACTACCGAAAAAACAGTCATACACACAATCTGCAGCGTGAGGATAAAGAACGAGCCTTTTCCATTCGGTCTCTTTACTTTTACTCCTTTACTTTTGTAAAGTAAGAAAAAGGTGTTACACACTTTGCTGAAGACATCCATTAGACTTTAGACCAGCTTTCAGTTGGTCAACAGCGCGGTCTATTTCAGTTCTTCAAAATAGCGTGCCAACAATGTGCCCTATCACACCTCCTGTTCAGACCAGCACGCCTATGATTCCACAAAGTGGCACAAATGGATTTGCTTTTTTAAACAACGTGGCGCAAAATGTGAAAATTACAGTTGCACTGGTCTGAAAACAGCAAAAAATCATGCCAAACACGTCTTGCGCCTTATTTCGCTGATTGTATGATAGGGCCCATAAAATTTCAAATACTGTAAATGTTTGATGATCTCAACAGATATTCTCATTCTGATTGGCTATTGTCATTTCGTCTCCTTGAATTGTAAGGTTCTATCTGCGTTCTGAATGATTTTAAAATATTGAGCTTGAAAGTTTTTGCATTCCATATAGAAAACAATATGTGTGCAACATTTGTTTTTCAAATAAAAGTTTGAAAATGTAAACAACTTATAAAAAAATCCAATAATGTAAATAAGTTTTCATTTAATAAGAATGTCAGTAACTCAACTTTGACAAAAATGTCAGATAGAACCTTATAATTCTAAGGTGATGATTTTCCTCTCATGTCTCAGCTCCCTTCATTAGTATTTTTTAGCGATCTTCAGACCACTCTAGCCAATAGCAGATCAACAGCTACTGTAGAGGCGGGATCAAAACCATACAGCCCCTTTTGATTGGTCAGATTTGATTAAGCAACCGTTGCACTCAACACACATATTTCTGACACGTAAATTATATTTCATTTAACACAACTCTCTGCTATAAAGATATTGCATGTACTATTGTTATGATAATGATATTGTTTCAATATATTGTGCACAACTTCAACATTATGTGGTTTATATTAAAGAATTTTGTTTATAAATGGTGTTTATATTAAACAATAATGTGTATAAATATATTTGTTTTTATCAAAACTGCATTGTTTGCAATTCTTTTTTCTCTGTAAGAGTTTTCTGTTAAGGTTTTAAGCAAACAGAACATTTCTTCACAGTGTCTTTGCTCATATTTAGTATTAGTATTAGTGGTGTGTATGCACAATAATCCTGCAAAGTGTGTGAATGCAGCAGTGGCGGTAGAGGACAGACTCTTCTTGGCATGGTTTTCACACTCTTCTCACTCTCCTCTGTCGCTCATCTCCGGGGATCAAGGGGTGACAACGCACTTAGTTGCCATGGCAACAGACCTTTGATGTGGTCGTTGGCCTGATGTTCCAGTAGTCATCATCAACCACCAGTGACATCATCATCACCCCTCCCTCAATCATACCTGCCCGAAGGGTCACATATTGTATGACTTTTCCTTGATAAACACTAGACATGATGCAGCGTTGAGTGTAATGGAGTAAAACATAGCAAGAAGAGTAAAATGAGAATATAGTTTATTACAGTATTTATTGATCTATGAATACTAATATACTTTAAAATTATTTTGTTAATATAACAAAAAAATGTATTCATCATAAAGGTATTTTTGTATCATTAAAATTCTAAGAATTGATAGAATTACATTTTATATTAATGATATATTTTAATCAATAAATAATGCATTCAACATTAATAAAAAGATTTCTATAATTATCAATATAATACAATATATTATATAATATATAATATATATTATATATAATATAATATAATATAAATTACAAATGTATGTATTTTAATATGATTAAAATCTTCAATATTTGGTTAAATTTAATTTACTCATAGTTCAAAATATAGTTATATATATATGTACATTTTTTTTCTTAACATCTTTAAGAACAATATATATATATATATATATATATATATATATATATATATATATATATATATATATATATATATATATATATATATATATATAAATACATACATAAACACATCTTTACTAGGTACACCTAACAAGTACCAGGCTGGACTGCCTTAATCGTTCGTGGCATAGATTCAACAAGGAACTGGAAATAATTCTCAGATTTTGGTCCATATTGACATGATAGCATCACACAGTTGCTGCAGATCTGTCGGCTGCACATGCATGATGCGAATCTCCTGTTCCACCACATCCCAAAAGTGCTCTATTGGGTTGAGATATGCCCTGTTGTATGGTGACCATTCTCTGTAAACCCTAGAGATAGTTATGTGTGAAAATCCTAGTAGAACAGCAGTTTCTTCAGTTCTCAGACCAGCTCGTCTGGCACCAAAAACCATGCCACGTTCAAAGTCACTTAAACGACCTTTCTTCCACATTCTGATGCTCAGTTTAAACTGCAGCAGATCGCCTAGACCAGAGGTCACCAATCTCGTTCCTGGAGGTCCGGTGCCCTGCAGGGTTTAGCTCCAACTTGCCTCAACACACCTTTCAAGTATACCTAGGTAGAAATTGATTAGCTGGTTCAGGTGTGTTTGAGTAGGGTTGGAGCTAAAATCTGCAGGACAACGGCCCTCCAGGAACAAGTTTGGTGACCCCTGGTCTAGACCATGTCTACATGCCTAAATGCATTGAGTTGCTGCCATGTGATTGGCTGATTAGAAATGTGCCTTAATAAGCACATGAATGTACCTAATAAAGTGGCCGTTGAGTGTATATACACACAAACACAATTGCTTTGCCATTTTGAAAAGTGAAAAGACATCATCATTGTATCATTGTCATGTGACCTACGTAGTGGGACTGCAGAATGTCTTTTTCCTCACAGCGTCTCCGTTTGGCATCACCACCGGCCTGAGAGGAATAAACCCCTGACGGACCCTGACGATCCTCCACCGCCTGACTGTCAGTCGACGACACTGATTTACTCTACAGAGACATAAAATACAGCATAAACACACACACACACATGCACACACACACATAAATTTTCAACAAAACGCTAAAGGTTGTGCAAAGTTCACGAATAGTTCACTGTCCTGCTGGTTTTGGGTTGAAAGTCAATAACATCAAATGTCAGCATTTCTCAAGTGTCTCGAACCCGAACGTCATGATGCCAGTTTGACTGTTGTGAAAGTGATTTTAAAGGAAAATATTGTTATTTTTTCATATAGAAAGGTCTTTGTGTGGAAAAGATACACCGATGGTCAAAGGTTTGGGATTAAGAGATGTTTTTATTTCATTTATTTTTTTAAATAGGAAATTCTGCTTGCAAGATTCATTTGATACAAACTATAGTAAAAACTGTAAAATTGTGAAATGTCATTACAATCTAAACAAGGGATGCCCAAAATTTACCTTATAAAGGGCCAAAAACCAAATTTGAGGCTAGTGGGCCAAAGGTAAACATAGTTTATACGTGCAATTTCCTTATTTATTTAATAATATCAAAAAAAAACTAGAAAACATTGCTTTATGTTAACTATTACAGTATATTTTTCCGTCACGTTTTATAATGAACTTATCACAGTAAAAACAACCTCATTTATAACAGAATGACGTTACACTAGTTTTTGCCTTAATCGCTTGCCGATATCTTCTTCATATTCCTCTGTCCATCGAGTGACAGCATTTACATTTTAAAAACTTAGATTCATTTAAAACATTTAATTTTAGTTTGCCTTTTTGTAGCTCAGCAATAAATCAAACAAACAAACAAACAAACAAAAAGTTTACATCATATCAGAAATGACGATCTCAAAGACATTCTCCCTACTTCTCTCCATCATTCTCACTCTCTTCTCAGATGGGATGGTGGGTCAAATCAAAGGTTACAATGCGCTAACTTTGGCCCGCGGGCCGCACTTTGGGCATCTCTGATCTAAACTGTTTTCTTATCAATGCATTTATTATCTATTCCTCTTGGATATTATGGTGGAGTGGGGTCTCTCCACTCCACCACCAGTGTGCAGTATCCACTTGGATGATGCGACGGTAGCCACAGGACAACAGTGCTAGTGCGCTCACCACAGACAGTGATAAAGAAAATTCTGTGTATGGGGATGATTGGGAGGCCAGGGCTGACGGAGGGAATTTGGCCAGGACACCGGGTTTACACCTCTACTCTTTACACGAAGTGCCAGGGGATTTTTAAAGACCACAGAGAGTCAGGACCTCGGTTTATCGTCTCACCTGAAAGACGGCACTCACTGACAGTATAGTGTTCCCTTCACTTACCGGGGCATCTGGACTCACACAGACCACAGGTTGAGCTCCCCCTGCTGGCCTCACTAACAAAACTTCCAACAGCAACCTTGTTTTCCCTTGTGTTCTCTCATCCATTGTGATCAATGTTGAATTTTTTTCCACATAATTGAGGCAGGGGGCAAAAAATAAAGATTGATCATAACAGAACAGCAAGTCATCATGCTAATAATGACTTTTTGAGACTCTTCGATTAAAAGAAAGTTAAAAATAACAGCATTTATTTAAAATAAATATTTTTTTAACATTAAATGCAACTTTTAATCTTGAACATTTTAATGTCTCCCTAATAAATGAAAGTGGACACATATTTAATGGCACATTAGAAAGGCAACTTGTCACGATTTTCGTTATAATCATTATCATAAGAATAATAATAAATATTTCTTGAGCAGAAGATCATATGAATTTCTGAAGGAGCACTCAATAAGTAAACAGTTGTTACAAATTCTAATAATAAGTCAATTTGACAGTTTTAACTGTATTTTTGGCAAATTGTTCAGCAGAAAAGGCTTCATTTAAAAGCTTTAAAAAACTTTTGACTGGTATTGTAGAAGAGGGTCATTAAATGATGACAGAATTGTCATCTTTGGCTGATTTATTCCTTTAAATTTGCAATAATAAGCATCCTTCTGGATGCCGATCGTTACTGAATTGGCCCAAAACATTTGGCGTGCATCCAGTGTCAACTGTCCGTCTCTAAACTTTCATCATTGTGAGGAGGACAGCAAAACCACCCTCAGATCAGTGACTTCAAACACTTCGTTTTCTGCAACGCTGCAGTTTTGCTAGCCAAACAGGAAGCGCACTGGACTGAGATGAGAAAAAGTGCACAAAGAAGCCCTAGTTCTCTCAAACAAACCTGTTTTCTCCAAATTCTCTCTCTCTTTTCACTCCCCCTAGCTCAGACCTTTCCTTGACTCCCTCATTTTCTTCCTCTACAGTCAGCAACAAGAAATCATCTTTAAGAACGGGACTGTTACAACTCTTTCTCCTCCACATATTCTCACATTCGACTCTTAAAGGGACAGCACACATTATAAATTATCATTTGGTCCATGATTATCCTAGCAGAAGTTCCCAATTGAAACTGGAACACAATTGGATAACAGAATCATTCATTTTCCTTCAGTTTAGTCCCTTATTTATGAGGGGTCGTCACAGCCAAATGAACTACTAACTCTTTTGGCATTTGTTTTACACAGACCTTCTAGCAGCAACGCAGTACTGGGAAAATAACAGAAAAAGATCTCATAAAAAGTATCACACATGAAAAAATACTATAGTAAGTTACCTGACAGCCTGTAGTGTTTGTAAACCAAACAATAGCAAATACTGTTATCCTGTACATATTATAGTAACACTTTGTTAATGAATGATTCAGTATACCGCATTATTAGCTATAGTGAAATGAATAAATACTGTTGTTTTTTACTACCGTGAACTGTGGTGTGTTGTAGTATATTATGCCCTATAGTTATAGAAAACTACAGTATTGGGTCATTTGTCTACATTAGTATGGTTGCTGTGTCACTCTTGCAATTATTTTATAGTTTTTATATTGCAATTATACTATAGTTTACTATAGTATGGTTAAAAAACACTGTAGTATTTACTTTAAATTACTGTCTTATTTTTTTTTTTCAAATGGGAAAAAACTTATTTGTTAAAAATGAAAAATGAATGAATTCGAAACACTGTGAATTTCAAAACACTATTCAAAAATGTTAAAAAAAAAATGTAACTCGTAAGTTAAAAAAACAATTAAAAAATACACAAACCCAATTCATAAATTTAAAACACGATTCAAAAATACACAAATCCAATTCGCAAATTTAAAACTATATTAAAAATTATACAAATCCAATTTGTGAATTCAAAACTCGATTCAAAAATACACAAATCCAATTCATAAATTCTAAACACAATTAAAAAAATACACAAATACAATTTGTGAATTCAAAACTCGATTGAAAAATATACAAATCTAATTTATAAATTCAAAACTCGATTCTAAAATACACAAATCCAATTCGTAAATTCAAAATAAGATTAAAAAAATATACAAATCTAAATTGCAAATTCAAAACACCATTCATAAATACTAACCCCAATTTGTAAATTCCAAACACGATTCGTAAATAAACAAATCCAATTCGTAAATTAAATACATGATTCATAAATACAAACCCCAATTCGTAAATTCAAATCAAGATTCGTAAAAACACAAATCCAATTCGTATTTCAAAACTCGATTAAAAATACACAAACCCCAATTCATAAATTCGAAACATGATCAATAATTACAAACCCCAATTCGTAAATTCAAAACAAGATTTATAAATACACAAATAAAATTCATGAATTCAAAACTTGATTAAAAAATACATAAACCCCAATTTGTAAATTCAAAACACGCTTCGTAAATACACAAATCCAATTCATAAATTCAAAACACAATTTATGAATACACAATTCCAGTTAGAAAATTCAAAACTCGATTCAGAAATAGACAAATCCAATTTGGAAATTCAAAACATGATTAAAAAATGCACAAATCCAATTTATTTGGTCAAAATGTTCATGATTTTTACTAATCATGAATTGTGTGTAGAATTTACAAATTGGATTTTGTACATGTGAATTGTGCTGTACATGTATGAATTTTATTTCGGAAATTTGTTATTTTTGAGACTGATCTAGCTCCATACTTTAATGCTAACTAAGATTCAGGCCAATGACAGAGAGTTATGTTTTGTTACAGCAAAAGTACAAAACGAACACTTCCCATGTAACTAATGGCAGAGGGCAGTAACAACGCTGTTTAGAGAGTCCTGAAAGGTCGGTCGGATTTCATAATCGCTCTTCTCAGTTAAGGACTCAGCATTTGGAGTCATTTATCAAAGTCAGTGGGGTGGAGGACCAACATATACACACAAACACACAAAGTTTGATACTCACCCTGCTGGGCGCACCCTCTGGGAGCGGAGAAGAGAGACAGAGAGAGAGAAGGAGGGGTAGGGGATTGACGTCAGTCTAGATAATAATAACAACAATTCCAAAGCAAGCCAAGGTCATGCTGAAAAATCCAGTCAGGGTGCAATAAAATGACATCCATTGTATTGAGCTCTCTGAGCAAGTCGCCCCTCTGGCCTTCAGTCTATCAGAGCTTCAAGGCTCCTCAGAAGTCGGTCCAATCTACCGGACCCACTCCACATACACACACACGCACATGCACACTCCCATGCATACACACACACACACACACACACACACACACACACACACACACACACACACACACACACACACACACACACACACACACACACACACATACACATACACACACACACACACACCTACACACATACACACATACACACATACACACATACACACGCCTCACTTTCTGTCGTTCTGTTAACTTCCCTTGGGCCACATTTGGCTCTATCACTTTTTGTATGGCTTCCTTTAATGCCCAAGCAAAAGTATTTACGAAAAGTATTTCTCACCATTGTCTTTTTTTTCTTCTGGAGATTTAATATTATTTGGGTTATTCTATAATTGCAGGTACATTTGGTGTCTGAAATTAATTTTGAAAAATCAAACTCTCATATATTGTGGACCACAATATATGTATATAAATATATAATATTGTCGTATACAGGTTGTTTTTGTGTCTGAATTAGCCTTAGTGTATTTTTTCAAGTATTATTGCTTAAAGGTGCCACGTAATAAAAATCTAGACATACCTAGGCATAGCTGAATAATACATCAGTAGATGGAAATGACATACAGTAAGATTTAGACACCATTGTTTCCTCATTCTGATGTAAATCAACTTAGTGTAAAATCCCAGTGAAAACCAGGCCAATCAGAGCAAAGCACAAACTGTTAAATTGCATATGGAGCAATTTATTAGCATGCCCTCAATATTTGTTACCTTATTTTAAGCTTATCTAAGTTTTTATTAAGCTTACTATGTAAGTGGGACTTTTACTTTGAAAACGGGAGATGCAGGGAGACTTATAGAGCCAAAGACTATAGGCTAAAGCCAGCTGCACCACATCTTTAGAGATTGTTTTCCATGTACTTTTACGAAACAAGGACATCTGTCTCTTTCAGTCATCTGTTTACAGCTCGTCAGAATTCAAAATGCTGGATATACAGATTTTGGATTTTTCTAGAGTCATCCTGAAGAGGCCATAAAGTTTGTTTATTGTATGTTTTGTTAATTAATTCTGTTTATTGTAAAATTTGCTGTGTGTTTTATGCATTGTGTCATATCGCTTAGCTATTTTTTTCTTGAGTAAAAGGACAATACACTTTAATAAATCCCTTTAAGTTAATATTTTTTAGGACAAAATGTCTCTAAATACAAATATAATGGCTATGTTTTTAGAGATAACTGGATTTAATTTGTGTTATTATTTAAAACATTTTTTATCATTTTTATTATACATTTTTTTGCTTCTGAAAAATAATAGAAAGCTTTTCTAGAAGATGCAAAATGTAACCGGAATATTAGTATAATCTTGCCATTTACTATGTTAAAAAAGTTATAATTGTCAATCCTGTTACCGTCAATCTCTTTTTACAACCATAACACAGTTAACATATATATATATATTATATGTTTTTTTGTCAATTAAAAAAAATAGACATACTTGCAATAGCACACCTCAAAGAATTTTTATTAGTGAACAGTTTTGGTAACAGTTTAAAATAATGGTCCGTTAGTTAATGTATTTACTAACATACAAACAAACTGTTAGTCATGTATTTATTACGGTGTTTATTTATCTTTGTTAACGTTGCTTAAAGTTATTTAAGTCAAATAATGTTAGTTCATGTATATCAATAATGCATTGGTTAATGTTAAACTATGATTAATAAATGCTGTACCGTTCATACGTAGTGGACAATTATTCTAAAGTGTTACCAAATTAAGTGTTTAATTTATTAAGTCGTTTAATATCTTCATACATCTATGAGGCTAAAAATTGTTGACTAAGAGAGGACAGATAGATATTCACCTCGTAGGTGCTCTGGGTCTAGGTGGTTGCGTTCGTCCTTGTTGGCCAGGTGTGCCGTGACTCCCAGGGCCCCAGTGAGGGCCAACAGACTGGACGTCCCACCCAGAGACAGACCTGAAGGATGAGGAGTGAGAGGAATACCTGGAGTGTGGTGAGACAGGTGCTGGAGCTGCTGCTGCTGAGAGACAGACAGATAAAGACATCAGGCAGGCAGACATGCAGAGAAAAACACATGGATGGATGGATGGATGGATGGATGGATGGATGGATGGATGGATGGATGGATGGATGGATGGATGGATGGATGAATGGATGGATAGATGGATGGATGGATGGATGGATGGATTGACGCATGGATGGATGGATAGAAGGATAGATGGATGGTAATAGATGGATGAATAGATGTACGGACAGATGTACGAATGACTAGTTGGATGGTTGGATGGATGGATGAATTGATAGATGAATGGGCAGAGTGACAGATGGATGATAGATGGATGAAAGATGGATAGATGGGTGGTTGGACAGAGTGACAGATAGATAATAGATCGATTGATGAAAGATGGATAGATGGATGAATGGATGGAGAAAGAGATGGATGGATAGTTTGAAGGTTGGATGGATGGATGGGCAGGGTGACAAACGGATGGATGGATAGACGAATAGATGTACGGATGGATAGCTGAATGGTTGGATGGATGGATGGATGGATGGATGGATGGATGGATGGGCAGAGTGACAGATGGATAGACTGATTGACATTTGGATGAATGGATGGATGGATGGGCAGAGTGACAGATGGATGGACAGATGAATGGATGGGTAGATGAATGGATGGCCAGAGTAAAAGATGGATGGATGGATGTACAGACAGATGGATGGATGGGCAGAGTGACAGATAGATGGATAGATAGATGGATAGATAAATGGGTGGATGGACAGAGTAACAGATAGATGATGGATCGATTGATGAAGGATAGATAGATAGATGGATGAATGGATGGACGAACGGATGGATGGAAAAAAATGGATAGATGATGGATAGGTGCATGGGCAGTGACAGATAGATTGATTGATGAAAGATGTAAAGATGGATGAATAGATGGACGAACGGATGGATAGTTGGATGAATGGATGAATGGAAGGGCAGCGTGACATATGGATGGACAGATGAATGGATGGATAGATAGATAGATAGATAGATAGATAGATAGATAGATAGATAGATAGATAGATAGATAGATAGATAGATAGATAGATAGATAGATAGATAGAAGGATGGATGGATGAAAGATGGATAGATGGATAGATGGATGGACGGATAGGTGCATAGGCAGGTTGACAGATAGATGGATGGATCAATTGATGAAAGATGGATAGATGGATGAATGGATGAACGAATGGATGAATGAAAGATGGCTAGATGAATGAATGGATCGATGGATATACAAATGGATGGATGGGTGAATGGATGGATGGACAGAGAATTGATAATTGACAGATGAATGGGCAGAGTGAAAGATAGATGGACCAATGGATGGATAGATGGATGGATGGATGGATGAAAGATGGACAGACAGACAATTTAGAAGGGGCAATATCATGGATGAACAGATGAACAGATTGATGGATGGATGGTCAAAGGCTCATTATATGGTATAAACAGACAGATTAAATAGAAATGAAAACCAGACCACAATAGATATGTTTGAGTGCATGTAAAAGATAGACAGAACAAACATATGGACAGAACTACATAACCAAGAGATGAACAAACAGAAACACGGACAGAGTGATAGAAAGATGAGCAGATATTATATAAGTAGATAAAAAAAATACAGATATATGCAGCCTTATTAAAACATACAGACAGACTGAATGAGTGAGGCATTTTCGTAGTCTCGGACAGATGAATGAACAGACAGGGAAAGAGCAACAGAAAGATAGTGATATACAGGGGGATTAATGGATGGATGGATGGATGGATGGATGGATGGATGGATGGATGGATGGATGGATGGATGGATGGATGGATGGATTGATGGATGGATGGACGGACAGACGGACAGACGGATGGATGGATGGATGGATGGACAGAGGGTCAGACACAGATGTGATGTGAGACAATAACACTGATTTATTTATTTTTTGACAGATTAAAATAGACAGACAGTCGGATGGACAGGCAAACAGTCAGACAGACAGATATGTCCCAACCTAGCTTGCTGTTTTGACAGGTTTCTGGAAACAGTTTTAAATGTATAAACCATAGAGAAATGCAGCAGTGTGTGTGTGCTGTGGAGTGAGCCTGTGCTGTTGTTTGTCATGTGTGGACTGCTTCACTGTATCACTGGGCTTTAAGTGCACTAATGTGATCAGAGCTCAGAGAGACAGTGGACTGGAGAGAGATTGAGCCTCTCTAACAGCCAGCATCAAAACAAGCTGTAATTTAGCAGAGAGAGGAGAGACATCCCTTTATCTGCTGCTTTTTCCTCCCCTCCTCCACATACTACCAACCTATCTGTGTTGATCCATTCATCTGTCTGTATGTCAGTCTGTTTTTATTCACTCTCTATCTGTCAATCAATCAATCAATCAATCAATCAATCAATCAATCAATCAATCAACATTTAAGCACATTATACTGTATATCTATCTGTCTGCACATCTATTTGTTCATCTTTCCATCCATTCATTCATCCATCCATTTTCCAGCTATGTATTTCTTTATGCACCTATCTGGGATCTGCAAACAACTTATGTCAATACATCCATTTTTCCATTTATCGTTTCATCCATCCATCCATCCATCCATCCATCCATCCATCCATCCATCTGTCAAATTTTCCATCCATCCATCCATCCATCCATCCATCCATCCATCCATCCATCCATCCATCTGTCAAATTTTCCATCCTTCCATGCATCCATACAACCATCTACCTATGTATCTATCTGTCCATCTATCCATCTATATAACCATGTACCTATCTGTCTATCCATCCATCCATCCATCCATCCCTGTCTATACATGAAATTGTCTATCTGTCCATCCATCTGACAAATTGTCCATCATCCATCCATCCATCCATCTATCCATCCATCCATCCCTCTGTCCATGCATGAAATTGTCTATCTGTCCATCCATCTGACAAATTGTCCATCATCCATCCATCCATCCATCTATCCATCCATCCATCCCTCTGTCCATGCATGAAATTGTCTATCTGTCCATCCATCTGACAAATTGTCCATCCATCATCCATCCATCCATCCATCCATCCATTCATCCCTCTGACCATGCATAAAAATTGTCTATCTGTCCATCCATCTGACAAATTGTCTATCCATCATCCATCCATCCATCCATCCATCTGTCAAATTTTCCATCCATCCATCCATCCATCCATCCATCCATCCGTCAAATTTTCCATCCTTCCATGCATCCATACAACCATTCACCTATGTATCTATCTGTCCATCTATCCATCTATATAACCATGTACCTATCTGTCTATCCATCCATCCATCCATCCCTCTGTCCATGCATGAAATTGTCTATCTGTCCATCCATCTGACAAATTGTCCATCATTCATCCATCCATCCATCCATCCATCCATCCATCCATCCATCCATCCATCCATCCATCCTTTTATCCCTCTGTCAATGCATGAAATTGTCTATCTGTCCATCCATCTGTCAAATTTTCCATCCTTCCATCCATCCATCCATTCATTAGTATGAGAGGTCAGAGGTCACTCACCCCTATGATGGCGTTGAGCTCTGCCATGGTCACTTGTTTAGCTCGCTCCACCGCCTGAACAACCTGCTGTTGATGCTACAAACACACACAAAACACACACAGAGATAAGAAAGAGACACAAAATGCAAAACTGGTGTAAACAAACTCAAACACAGCCAAATAAAGTACATTTATAATGAGGTCAGTGCTCACAAAACTTTAATTTATCCTTTAATTATCCAGTCTCTCACCATACACAAACACGCGCGCACACACACAGTCAGTATTGACAGACATATCACTCTGTCCTTCCCCGTCAGCAGATACTAACTCAGGCTAATGCTAAAGGTGACCTCCTGATCAATACAGTTCCGCCTGATCTTTTATTGCTCATCTGCCCAAATAAATCCTCCTCATTTGAAAAGAAGATCCATTCCAGACACTTTATTGGAACTTGGGTATCCTCGCATGGGAGCTGTATCACTATACATTATATAAAAGGTCAAATTCACAAACAGACTTTATGAAAGTAACGATCGGTAAACAGATTTGTTATTTACAAACGTCTACAATAACGGTTTGTGGTTTTATTAAGTCAGAATAACTTATTTACGGCCTATTAATCGGCTGAAAGTGGTAAAATTGCAGTCAAATTTAAGAGTCTATTTTTTTATTTAAGATATATTTTTGGATAATAAACTGAAATAGCAACTCCCTAACTGTCATCCCAATTATGAATTCTTGGGATTTTATATCTAGTTTTTCAATATAAGTTCAGGTTTAGACAAAAAAAAAGTACTGAAAAAGATCCCATCTGGAGCAAATTATCATGAGATAAATTATTGAATATGTTTAAAATACAATGAACTGTCTACTTATTTAATACGTAATTAATGTATATATATAAAAAAGTCAATAACAAAATATATAATAATATATTACTTTCAAAATGGTTTTGTGAAACATCTTAATTATTCTAAATAGTTTTTCATTCTTTTCTTGAGGAATTATGTTAATCCTTTCTCGTTTTCCAGTACGGTTTTGAACTCTAAAGGTGAGATGCATTAATTCACACTGCAGCTCCAAAGCTTTGAAGATAAACAATGGATTTATGGCTCCTCGACGAGGGAACTGGAGCTTTGAATATGTTGGGACACAAAATAAACCATTTCAAGCCTTACGAAACCAACAAAGAACAGTTAAAAAAGCAACAGCCAAATCTCAAGAGCTTGTTTTTTAATGAAGTCCTTCTACCCTTCATGCACATTGATAGAAACAAACAACATGTAACACTATGGGGTCCGTAATTGTTTAGATGTCACCAAATAACTTAAAATTTGATTGTTATGCGAATGACTAGAATTTGATGTTTTAAAAGATGAACTAACTGAAAAATGTAAAATGAATATAAAAAATTTATAAAAATTACAATGTAATGAAAATAAAGCTTTTCTATTATTTTTGAAAACTGTGTGCTATTTATTTACACAGCCATAATTATAAAATCAATAGTAGTGCTAGTAATAGTACCAATAGTATTACCAGAATGGAAAATATATCCAATATCAAAATAATCCAATGCATTGGGTTAAAATAGCCTATAGTTGGAAAGGTGCTATAATAACCTATAGTTGGGTTATATTTTTCCCAACTATTTTAACTAAGTATGTGCACAAATCAGAAGGATAAACTTTTTATCCGATAAGAAAAAAGGTGTATAAGTTACAATTAAAACATATATACCAAATAAATCCCAGCATGCACATCAAAAAAGTCATGTGATTTAGTTTTAACAGATAATTAAGCTAGCACTTGCAAAAGTTGCAGCGCGTTCATTGCATTTCGTCTTCTGAGGCGCAAGCTATTTAATATATAGACCATGTCATTGGCCCAGGAACATTTCCTGCTTGTTGTCAAACTACTTCATAACTCTAACAAGAGGCAATTCACTCACATCCTAACGCTAAAACTGTTATCATTTATCAACTGTTATTATTTGTCAACATGTGGACCTTTTTGGATTCTTGAAAGCTATGGAAATAAAAAATGTAAAAAAGGAAATACATTAGGACCATTGTTTTTGTTCACAATCTTTTGCTCCTAACTTTTTCGACAATTGGCACCAGGTAATCAGGAAGTAATAATTTTGTTGGTCCTAATTGGATAGAAATGGTACAAAATTTTTAAGCAACATTCCAGTTTTGGCCATAAATCTAAATCGCATCAATGAATGGAAACATAGCTAGTGTTTGAATTCTGGTTAACCTGATTAGAATGTTATCACTCGATTGAATGGGCATTATTAGTGGATATCAGCTGATACATATGGGCCAGTAGGGGCCTTCTGTGCCTACTAGTAGGCTCAAAAGGCTGTTATTATCCAACCACATGGTTAATTAGCAATACTAATAGAGGTTACTCCAGATCCAGATGTGTTTTTACATTACTGTGGCGGTGGGGTGTAGGGTTGGGGTAGAGGTAGACATTAATAAAATACATTTAATAGGAAATGTATTAAATAATATAAATAATTCTTGTTAACTTCCGGCAACAGTCGTATGTGATCTATAACTGAATAACCATGTGAATGGATGATTACAGCCTTCTAAGCTTACTAGTAGGCGCAGAAGGCCTCTACTGGCCCATATCTTTCAGCTGATAACCACTAATTTTACAGCACAAGCTCATCAAGTCATAGCAGACGACTTTTGTCTTCAAGTTTGCTTCTTTGTAAGAAAGAAAAAAAGCAGGATATCAGCAATCCTTGTTTAGGCAGAAATGTGAGACTAGTCGTTAAAATCTAGAAGCTGCACAGCCATACTGAGGGTGAATCAGTCTGACAGGGAGGGGAAAAAAAGTGTGTGCACGAGTGTGTGTTTGCCTCTGGGAGAAGACCCCAGAACCCTGATGAGTTGTCAATCACTGTCAGCCTACCTCCTGAGAGAGGAAAGGGATGATTTGAGCACAGATAGCACTGAGTCGCTTCACGATCTCCGCCTGAAAGAGAACACACACATGCACGCGCTCGATTAGAAGAGAAAACAGTGACAGTGATAAACCTGTACAACTGCACTGGGCGCTCAATTCCCAAGCACACAAATGGCTTCAGCTTAGATTATATTCACGACAATGATGTCTAAGCAACAAAAGATACACAAGGCAGAGAAAGAGAGTGACAGATAATAATGAAATGAAGGCCATTCTGAACAGCTGCGATGGAGGATGGAGGTTAATTGCAATTCTGTGGGCGCAAATGATAAAAAAAACACACATTCATAACATCCAAGCAAAAGTCTTAGAAACTAGCTAAAAACATATACACAAAACTTGCCATACAAAATCATATTAAGCTGCCTAGCAACTACACAGAATACCCTAGCAACAATTTAGCAAGACTCTACCTACTCCAAAACAATGCACTATTAACAAACAAAGAGAACGACCCAGTAAACTAAAACTACAAGTCATTCTTAGCACAACTACCTCCAAAACCATAGTAACCCCCTTGTAACTCCACAGCTTCTTAGCAATGCTTAAAAGCCATGTATGTCCTTAAAATCACTCCGAAATCCTACTCAACACTCTAGAAACCCCAGAGTAACCAGAAATCACCCAGAAAGACTGTAGATCTAGCAACACTGGAAAACCATTCATGACATCTCAGCAAAAACCTTAGAAACTAGCTAAAAACACCTATTGACCTTATTCTCCGTAGACGAGCGGGCGCTGCCATTTGAATCTTTTTGGCACAAGACTTCCGGTCTCATTCACTTCCATTCATTTTTAGACATTAAAAACTGCTCGTTTCGCTGTTTGATGTTGCAAACTGATATTTCCTTGTTATATTATTCTAATTGGTCTGTATAGTCATGCAAACATTTGTTTGTAGAGCAAGTAGTTTGACCGTTTTTTGCCGTTTATTATTCCTTGTCATTTCTCCCATAGGCGACAGAAACGGAAGTTCATAGACAATCGCGATAACAGGCGCACTTCCGCATTTTAGAATAAGGTCAATACAAACTTGCCATACAAACAAAACACTCAAGCAATCTTATTAAGCTGTCTAGCAACCACACAGAATACCTTGGCATCGATTTAGCAACAACTCTACAAACTGCAAAACAATGCACTACTACAGTAACAACCATGGAGAATGGCCCAGAAAACTAAAACTACAAGTCATCCTTAGCACCTTTAAAGAGCCCCTATTATGGGTTTTTGAAAATGACCTTCTATGCAGTGTGTAACACAGCTTTAATTGGTTTGAAATGTCCAGCTATGGCCTAAAATCCTAAAGTACACCATGTTTAAAGCTATTGATTCATCTATAAGAGCTGATTCATAGTGGTTTAAATGAATCGTGGGTTTAACGAATCTTTAGCCGTGGTGGCGTGAATGTCAATACGAAATTCAAGCCCCGCCTATTTGTTATGCGTGCAGACCTGGGAAAATTTAACCCCCCAGCCCCGCCCACAAACACTGTAGAAAGAAAAATAAGACAAACACTGTAGCAGATCCCGGTTGAATCAAGTCGCGACGACGCTTTGCTCTAAGTGTGAAGGCAAGTGAGTATTACCTTTCCTACCCAAAGATGAGTCTGTGAAGAGTTAAAGTTTATTTTTGTAATAATACCTCAGCGTTATAGTCTCAGCCTTCTGCTGTGTTCTGTCATTGTCATGATGAGTGCTTCAGTAATTTACACACTTACAACGGGGGATTTGTTGGCCGTTTGTTAAAGGAAGGATCAGAAAAGACTACTGATGTATGGGACTTTGTCAGAGCTTGACAGGAACTTTACAGTGCACAGTTCATGGATCAGCTTCTTCCTCCATTTCACAAATGTAAGTAACTTTAGTGCAATTAAAATGGTTGCCTCTTTGTTTTCTTTAGCTTACAAACTATGAATTTAATTGTGTTTTGTTGTCTGTAACCACTCCACGCGGCTTGTAGTGTATCTGGTTAACTCTTTATATTCTCATATCACGTCTAAAACCACATGTAGCACATTCTTTACGAATGTGAACACGTTTGTGAGCTTGCAATCCTCTGCTGTCTGTCGTTGCTATGGCCTCCATCAACTGTTCCTACACACGTGGCAGTCACGTTTCAGATTAGTTCAGCTTTTGCCACTGTATGTATTAATACTGAATGTGTGTCATGTTTAAGAATAGAGCAATATGCTGGTGTTAACTGCATTGCTTTAATTCACTCCTGCATTAGCCTCACACATGCACTCTGCACTCTGACTACTTCAGAATTGTTGATAAGCCGGAGTGGGTGCTTCATTCTGTTTTGGGTTGAACACAGTCGACCAAACACAACAGACTGGGTCATCAGACCAATCAGCGCAGCGCAGATTAGCATTGTGCTAAGGAGGGGTTTGAGAACAAATTAATTGCTGAATGAATCATATGGGAGTCGTTGGGATAATTAGGTAAAAATAAATGCATAAGACAATAAAAGTTTTTTTTGACCTTGCATGCAAATCAGCCTGTTGCTGGAGACCCCAAAAACCAAAATATGACCTTTTATAATGCAAAATAGGAGCTCTTTAAAATCCTCCAGAAGCCCCAACTTAAAACCCTAGAAACTCCCTAGTAACCAGCAACCAACCAGTAAGACTCAATGCAATGGTTATAAACAATTTATGACATCCTACAAGCACCCAGAAAACCCTAGCAAACAGAATAAAATAGGCTCTGCATTGTTTAAACCCTAGCAACAACATACAAAACCATCATATCAATGAAACTCATTCAAAACATCCTTAAATCCCAAATATAGTCCAAACAACAACAGCAACCCGCAAAACCCTAGCAACCAAATTTGCATCTAAACCTTAACCTTTGTATCTAATTATATCCTAGCAACCACTCAGAAACCAATAGCAAAGTTTAAAAACCATTCATAACATCCTAAAAGCACCCCGACAACCCTGGCAACAACACAAAATACCCAGGCAATGCACTTGAACCCAGTCATAACACCCTAGAAACCAGTAACCCCAGGCGTCAACATAGAAACACCCTAACAACACCAAATCACCCATAACATCCTAGAAACCAATCAGTACACCTTAGCAACAACATAGCGACACTTTAGAGTTGAGGTAGTGCAATTTGCATGGGCAAGTGGCATTTACATGTTCTCCAGGAAATATGAGTCTAGTTGGTGTGTGTGTACTGAGTTTTATTCATTCAGCCATTTCCCTGGGCTCTGTGTGTCAATGAGTGTGTGTGTGTATGACAGAAAGAGCCCTTCAGGGCTGAATAGCTTGGATAGTCTCAATCTCCTTGCAACAGAGCACACAAACACACACACACGTTTAATTATAGTCTCACTAAGAAAAACAACAGACAGGCAGACAAGTGTTTTACACACGCTGTAACACATGAACGGTTAATTACTTTCTCTCCCTCTCCCTCTTTCTCACACACACGTCTTTCAGCGCGTTCCACACAGTGCCCAGTCACCAACCACCTTCATACTCCAGCCATTATCCTCTTCTTACAGTTTTTTTTCATTCTTTTCTTCCTGTCCTGTGATAAGGCTCTGTGATTCACACACACAAAGACATACACACACACACACACACACACACACACACACACACTAATGGAGGAGTATTTGTGGTGATGGAGGCACCGAAACACAGCAGACCTCTAAGTGCACTCTAATACCTACATGAAGAGCGAAGCAAACCTCTGTTTTAGAGCTCAGTGTTTGTAGCCAAGCTATTTTAATCTGCACACCACCACATAATACACTAAACAATATCCATATCGCTGTATAAAACGAACACACCATGCCTGGATTAATTTTTTAAGCAGATTTACTAATGACTGTGATGATTAATCATTAAAAATACTTAATGTTGTTAAATGCAAGTTTTTTTGTGTAACCGACTGGATGTACTTTATTCCTTATCAACAAAAAATCAAAAGTGAAGTGCCATGCAGGGAATTCTGGGAACGTTAATTAATGGTAATTTACAGTATATTAAGAAAACTTACTGTTAATCAGGTAACATATTTTTACTGAAGCATTTACCAATCCATTCATCCATCCTTGCATCCACCCTGTTGTCTACCTATATTAAATCATCTATCTACATTGAATAGGAAAAAAATACACAAATTGTATGCTTAAAAATGAAGCCTGTCTGGGTTTATGCTGCAGTAGTAACCGACTGGATGTACTTTATTCCTTACTTATCAACATTAAATTCTACATGTACTCTTTATTAACTCTAATGTACATGACTCACGAGACAAAAACGAATAAAAATAACCATAGAAATGTCAAAAAAAAATTATAAAAGTGAAGTGTCATGCAGGGAAATCTGGGAATGGTAATTTACTGTATATTGAAAGGAAACTTACTGTTAAGTTATCTATCTATCTATCTATCTATCTATCTATCTATCTATCTATCTATCTATCTATCTATCTATCTATCTATCTATCTATCTATCTATCTATCTATCTATCTATCTATCTATCTATCTATCTATCTATCTATCTACCTATCTATCTATCTATCTGTCTGTCTATCTATCTAACTATCTATCTATCTGTCTGTCTGTCTGTCTGTCTGTCTGTCTGTCTGTCTGTCGATTGATCGATCCGTCTGTAAATCCATCTGTCCGTCCGTCCGTCCGTCCATCCATCCATCCATCCATCCATCCATCCATCCATCCATCCATCCATCCATCCATCCATCCATCCATCCATCCATCTATCAGTCAGTCAGTCTGTCTGTCTGTCTGTCGATTGATCGATCCGTCTGTAAATCCGTCCATCCATAAATAATAAATGGTTAATACTGTACATAAACAAAACACTGTTAATCAGGTAACATATTTTTACTGTAGCATCCATCCATCTCTCCATCCATCCATCCATCCATCCATCTATCAATAAATAATAAATAAACGGTTATTTACTGTATATAAAGGAAACACTGCTAATCAGGTAACATATTTTTCCATCCATCTA